CTACTGTCAAGTCCTACTTCAAACAAATTAATATAAAAATGGATACCCATTCTCGTTACACCAAATGCACTCAAATTCCTCAGCTCTGAATATATATAAAAATGGATACCCATTCTCGTTACACCAAATGCACTCAAATTCCTCAGCTCTGGGGATACGTAGATGTCCATCCAACTGGGTATCCTATCTGGGTATTCATCTCGATACCCAAGTTGTGGATATTATGACATCCCTCTATATATATATGTATATATATAATTCGAAGCATGCTGCTTATGACTCTTCGAATCCATTCGAAAATAAACGAGCTGATTCATTTGTTTGAGGATGTGGAGCCGTTTCATTTCTACACTGGGATCGTCGCAAAGAGTTTTCTAAACGAGAACAAAGCTGAAAGAAAAAATGAGAAAATAAATATCATTGTAATAAATTACGAATACTTGTGCTTTAAATCATTGCGATCGATATGATCGTTGCTTCATATTTTCCTGTTTCATTATAACTTGAGAATAATCATCGTTGGATGATGCGCACTACTGTCTATCAATAGTGATGAACAGAAAAATGTACTCACATACTTGAATCGTCGAAATGCTAATTCATCGGATTTTACTTTTGATGTCAACGAAATTCAAGAAATTGCGAAAAATAAGGCAAAAATTGTTTCTCAGAGTGATATGGATAAATTAAAGAAACTTCAACAAGAGCAAAAAAAAGCAAAATCAGAAGAATCAGAAGAACAAAATAACAACTGATGATGATGATGATGATTGCAATATAGAGAACTCAAAACAAAATCTTGAATGAACTTTGATTTTAGGCGATTATGTTTGGCATACAAATAACTATTGTTTATTCACTTACGATCATCATCAGTTTACTACTCGAACAACTATTGGGATGACAAATCAATTCTTCATGAGCGTATATGCTTATTGCAAATGTAGTACATACACATGTAAATTTCATGCTACGTTAACTGAAAACGATCGAATAGGAATAAATTACTTAGGTCGAATTGTTGATAAACGCAGGTGAAGTACATGCTCGAGCAATACGTGGCTCGCGTCGTGAAGAATTACAACAGATTACTACGCTAGGTGCTACACCAGGTGTACTTTATCTTCAACAATTATAATCAATTTCAGCATCAAATAAAGGGGCAGGAAATATGAATGCTGTAGGTTCTAGTCGTTCAGTACTTTGTGAAATATCAAGTGACGTTAATTCCAAATTAAGCCGAGATGATGACTTAGACAGAAGTCTTCATGAATTAAAGATTATACAAGCAAAGAAAGTTTTTTCCTGGTGAAGTAATACCCGGTTATCTTTAAGAAGTTAGTACGGATCCACTGTGATTGATCTGTTTTACCGCGGGAGGCATTTCTGGATACCATCACTTTGAATCCACTATGCTATTATCATGAGATGCAACTAGTGGTATGGAACTATGGATATTGTTCATTGGGTGAATTGTTTTATCAAAAAATAATTATACATAAGTTTACGATTTTTTCAATCCGTTTCCCAAGCCAACGATCATTCATAGTGATTGTGCTCCTGTTTTTCTGCTTGCTGATATTCAAATCTTTAATCAAGATAAAACGATGGATCGTCATATTGAACGATGTTGGCATATTCTACAACGAACTGCTACCAAACATGATTTGGAAATAACAATTGTGCACGCCTGTCTCGGCCATTTCATGAAGAACGTAAGAAAGAATGCATCAAAAGATTTAGGGCAAACACCGGTAGCATACATATAATTCAATGAAGTAATACATTCAAGTTTTTTTCCTCAGATTCCATTTGGTATGTGGTTAACGGCATTACTTATTAATAGTAACACACTGAATGAAATGATCATTATTTGGGGAAATACAGTATATGTATTGTACTTATGAGTTCAAGTCAGAATGATCAATTCAAACTAAGTTTGATGTAGGATATGAATAGTAGTACCATCTATTGTTTACTGTCACACCTAAACCCTTGAAATTATTTAGTAAACTTACATTGTTGTCAACTTTATTTAGAAAGATGACAATATTACACATGATATTGGATCCGAAGAGGAAAGTATTTTTCATTTGCAATCCTCACTTAAAGAACTGTTTTACACGATTAAGCAACTCGATTATGATATTGTACGATATCCAATCAATCAAAAATAACACTGGCACCTGGTAGTGCTCGATCTCGAAACGAAACTAATACTACAGTTCGATTCGTTGCGAACCCACGACTTGCCAAGAACTCAAAACATGAATCGCTTAATACATCACTTCAATGTACAACACTTTTTAAGGAATGAGACCAACATAGATTTCCATAATACCTGGTGACTCTCCACACCTACCAATGATTTCAATCTGTACCAACAACACACTCACTCTTGTGCAAAACATCTACTGATGCATGCGAGCGCATATGTGCACCGACAACACTTTCCAACTATAATAAATGATAGCGTCGGACTATAGTGGCACAAAATTGGTGAAGAAATACTAAGGGTAGCAGAACTCGCCTCCGACGACGATCTATCATCGGTGAGTCTTATTTCTGATACGTTCACTAACAGCTAACTATTTACTTTAGTTATCCGACATCCTACCATCAATGAAATCTAAAACAACGAGCCCAAAGAAAAGCAGCACGAAAAAAGGAACAAACCAAAAGAAAAATAACTTCTCTCGCTCTCACTCTCTGTACCTACAGATTAAAACAATAAAAATAACCATTGTAGAAATTTGTACCTCCTCATTATTTTCATATTGCTCGGCAATCATTAAGAATGAAGTCAGACTCATTTTAATAATGCCTGCTCATCGATCAAAATGTGTAGCGTTGATATTTTTTCGCTACTTTTTCCGCTGAAGAATATGATTCGCCTGTTTGACATGGTGATAGTGAAATTCGGTATTCAGTTCTCTATGTATTGATGAAAACCTGATTCGTGGGCAATCGTTTTGAAGTATTCCAGCGCATTAATATAAGCGTCAGTTATTAAGAAAAATGGCTCTGAGTGCTTTTCCCTAGGTTTGGTGTCCAGGACGGAAAGTTGTTTAGATGGATGTTAGGAGAAGGTGATACTTTGTTGTATTTTGAGTAGTAGAAACTGTGCGGTATTTTGATTCGGGGCTACGTTAGAATTTAGCTGATAGTGTCTGGGTCTCTCTGATGGAACGGGAATGATATATGGGCGTTTATCTTGGATTAGTTGTTGGTACTCAATGTATTGGGATTTGTTTTTATAATGAAAGATCAAAGACTGGGTTGCCATAAGGATTATCCGTCAGAGTTTCGTAGGAGTAATATGTTCTGCGGCTTAATGCTCAGTGTTCTTTACAGTATTAATGAGGTTTGTCATGTCAACAGTAATGATTGAGTACGAACAATTGATAGGGATGTACTCTGAATATTGGTTGCTAAGGTGATTGAATTGGTATTCCATGAATTCAAGCAGTTATTTTGTGACTGCGTTTATATTGGCAATTTAGAGCAACAGTTTTTATTGGTGACCGTGATAGCTTCTCATGGATACTTTGTTCCATAATCCTTCTCCAAATGTTTATTATTTATGATTAAAATAGAATAGAATAAAATAAAATATGAGATTTCATAAATCAAAAATTTATATATTAATTATTTATTTGCTTCTTGTTCAACCGGAAATGTACATGATAAACTATCATTGTTTATTCCAATAATCGATGTTTGCGTTGATATTGATGGTAGAGGCATTGAATTAATTTCAGAGACAAGTTGATTTTCTTCATGTAAATCATCCATATCAATACGTTTATATTTAAAACTTTTTAGGAAATATATAAGACCAGTAAAAATGAGCAAAGCACCTGAAAAAACAATCATAAAAGAAAATATTGAGAAAGATTTGTTTTTTTGTATGATTATATTCTTACCGGCAACCTTAATATCCGTTCGTACAACTATTGAAAGCCATGTTGGAATAAAAAATGGTAATGATAAACCAATGTAAATGATTGTCTTAAGCCAATTATCAATCGGAATACAACATGTCCAATAGAAACATGCTTCACTTCTAAAATGTTGTATTTGTGAATATAATAGATAGTCCGATGCATTACAAATAGAATGTAGAAAATAAAAGACCCATGCATACCTAGGTCGATCATTACAGCGACTAAAAACGATCGAACACGACCGAAAACGCTAACGTATGCTATCGTTTCTGACCGTAAATCGCCGTAAGTTGACGTTTTGCCATGCACCGTATTACGGTCGTATTTTACCGTGTTGTAAACGGCTAATTACAGTCATAATACGATCGAAAAATTGAGTATCCAATCGATTACGGCACGTTGACAAACGGTTGTAATACGGTGCATGGCGAAAAGATTAACTGAAGCGGCCGTTTACGACCATGTGTCTTTCACCTGAGCATGCACCACAAACAAAGAATAAATATGCACCTATATATAGAACCATCACCAGAAATATATTCCTCAATTTTTTCCAAATATCCAATGTTGATTATATAGATGTTTACCGGAAACAACAAATACAACAAGTTATACACTTATCAAGTATCCAAAGAAGCTCCAAATAAGCGACAATCACTGTCGCAATTCTAAATGAACAAATTATTTCATCGTTATTCGTATGATCTCTTTTTCGCTCGAATGTTCGAATGCATACGTTACATATATTCGAAAATTCCAATAATCTGCTGCTATCCATTCCATATAAGTCGTCAAAATAAGACCTAAATATAATTGAAAAGATAATAATGAATTCCCTTGACCCCAAATGTTCTTAGCTAACCAGCAAGTGTTATTATTCCGCATATTCTCGCTAATGCTGTAATAATAATAAAGATGCATCCTCTTCGTTGATGAGTTGCAAAATATTCATCATCAATCTTCATCTATAAGAAAGAAATATTTTTTTTTGTAAAGATGTTTTATCTAGTTTATTGTATGCAAAAAATAGATAGACAAAAAACAAAGAAAAAACAACAACGCCAGTACACTATTTGTAGAGAACAAAAACAAAAAAGAAAAGCATAAACATTGAGAAAGAAAGAAAACAGGATATCTTACAAAGGAAATAGCAACAGAATTTATTTCATTTTTTGCCTACGGTTTCTTAGAAATCACATTTAAGAAGATAGCGTCTAGATTTTAATATATATATATGATTTAATAAATCATTAGATGGAACTACATTTGGTTTTCTATCACCGGAATAGGCTCGAGAGACGAATAATTAAAGAGAAAGAATAAATAAGTATACACACAATGACTAAAACAAAGCAAAAGCATGCATGTTATTGTATTGTTATTTTTTTCTTGTTTCCTATATGAATAGGATATATTGATATCACAGGCCCATGGCTTGTTTTCATTTGGGTACATAAGGAAGTTGAACAACTCGCACAGCTTGTTGATTTGGTTGAGCAAATACAAGTTGTCCAGCTGAATTTTGTAAAAAGATAGCACCCCCTTGTTGTTGCATAGCAGCTATTTGCTGAGCTTGCAATTGTGCAGCGAGAACTTGCTGTTGTTGTTGTAATTGTAATTGTTGTATTAGCGCTGCTGAAGAATAAGCAACAGGTGGTCGAATAACTTGTACAAGTTGTCCATTATGCTGAATGAATTGCGGTTGTTGTTGTTGTTGCTGCTGTTGTTGCTGTTGGGCTTGTAATAATTGTGCCGTTGGATATTCAATAAAATGTTGAATACCACCTACAAGAAGAAAAACAACGGTAGCAAATACGAAAGAATATGAATGACTCATTTACCTTGTGGCGTTCGTACGGCAACAACACGAGGTTGCTGAACGGCTGTTTGCATAGGCATATATATTTGTTGTGCTTGTTGATTCATAGGTAATAATTGTTGACCGACATTGTTTGTTGTTTGAATCATCATTTGTTGGCCATCTTGTGTAAGAATAGTTGTTCCACCTGGCGTTGTTTGACCTGAATTCGAACTTTCACCACCACTTGATGCTGCTGAATTCGGTGACATTTGTTGCTGTTGTTCAATACTCATAGTAGGAGTTTCAGGAGTTGTGGGCATCTGTTGAGTAGGTGCAGGTGCCATTTGAAGTTGATAAGTAGCTAATGTTGGACTTGGTGTTGTAACAATAAATGGGCCCATTGACTAAAGAAAACGAAAACAATCGATTGAAATAGTAAATAAATGTTTATAGTACAGAAATAGTTGGTGATGACATAATAGGCATTTGAATAAGTGGAAGTTCGGCTAAATGTTTTTGAGTTTCACGTTCTTCGATTAATTGTTGTGCTTGCATTTCATTAATTAAACCATGGTTTTTAGCTGCATGAATTTCTGCACGATACTAAAAGAAAACAAAAATATTTTCAATAGAGAATATAAACCCAAAACATAACTGAATATACTTTTAAATCATTGAGCATTTCAAAATTTTCTGGATCATCCATATCCGGAGGAGTGAATGAATGTTCTTTATTTATTTTTTTCTAAACGATAAATTAATTGGAAGAAAAAATAAACTAAAATTTGTTAATAGATATTTACTTCGAATTCTGGTGGTAATTTTGGGCCAATCATCGGTTCTCCATCACCATCGACATCATCAGTTTCATTCTTTTTCAAAGAATATGCTGGAGTTTGTTGTTTATTTTTTCCTTTGACATTCTTCTTTTGTGCTACAGCACGTTGTTGGTTATGATTGATAGTTAAAATGATGGGTTCTGGTTTATTCTCTTCAGTTGTTGTTGCTATCGTCGTTATTGTAGATGTTGTTATTGTTTCTTCTGGATTTTCATCATTGGTTGGAGGTTTTGGTGTTGCAGCAATCAGTACTCGAGGTTGTTTATTATTGGGTAACTTTCGAGTCGTACTATTTGCTGTTAAATTATATTTAGCACCATTTTTATTCGGTGTTGTACGACGTTGATTTTCATTTGATTGTGTTCGAAGAGTACGCGGGGTATTTCGAGCTCCGCGACCACGACGTGATGCTGGACCGCCTCTTCCTCCTTTGCCATGATTATTTGATTGTTGATGATTATGATTTGAATGTCGCGATGATTTTTTATTGTGACTTCGTGATCGACTACGCGAACTACGAGATGATGTTGATGAACGAGAACTTCTTGAACTCGATGAACGACGTCTCGAATAGGACCGTGACGAACGACGACTACTGCGACTACTGTGACGACCACGATTATCACTTGAACTCGATGAAGAACGGGATGATGAACGAGATGAACCTATAAATTAAGATTTAGTATGAAAAACTAAAACAATTCCATACGAAACTTACGTGTTCGTCGACGTCGATATCTTCGATGTGAACGACTTGATGAACGTGAACTATCGGACGATGTTGATGAATCCGATGAACGCGAAGTTGATGATGATGAGTGCCGACGACGACGATGATGATGACGACGACGTCGACGACTACTACGTCGTCTTCGTCTTGACGATGATGCTGATGATGATCGAGAACCATGATCATCATTATTTTCATCACTAAGCTTTTTTTCATTAGTTGTCGAAGCAACAGGTTCATCATTTTTAACTTCTTCACTTTTAATCTTTTCATCAACAATGATGGATACTGTTGTTGATGCTGTTGCTGTTGTTGTTGGTAATTCAACTGTTGTTATAGATTCTATTGTTTCGTCTAATAAATAAATAAAACAATTGAAGGAAAATGTTTTCTTTTAAATTTTTTTAAATTTTAGTTAAAATTTTAAATCGAGTAATATAAAAGAAAATGAATAATAACAAATTGCGCGCTTGCGTGAATACGTGTTTAAATATAAATTTCGGCATGAGACGCGTCAGAAAAGCAAAGAGCTCAGCTATTATAGCGGCTGTGTTGGCGACCAAAAGAAGATTACATGACCATTTAAACAGCAATAGAGAAAGAGGGACAAGAAGAAATGAAAAGTAAAAATGATAAGATCTCTTGCCTTAACAAATAAATTCGTCGAATGTAGCCTATAGAGAAGTAAGAGCATTCAAGCATAGCTCATAAGATAATATATATTCTTATTTAGGATTATTTTAAAATATCTAAGATTAATTTTGTTTGGAATGCAAAAAAAAACAAGATTTTCGATATACTAAAATTCTTTGTGTCTTTAAAAAGGAGAGACAAATGAAATCCTCTATTGTTGTTCTTCAACTTACTTTCTGATATTTTCTGCTTCTTTTTCTCATTTTCATCACCCGACGATGTTGAATGTGAACTTGTCGTTGGATCATTTGGTTTATGCAAACGTTTTTTCTTTGTTGCATTCATTACGGGAACCGCTTCTTCGTCAATATTAGCCATATCATTCGATACAGGAGATGTTTTAAGTGGAAGATTTTGTGTACGATTAAATTTAAATTGTATAGGTCCTGCTATACTGCCGGTATTATTCATTCGACATATGCGTTCGATTTGTTCGTCTTCTTCACTTTCATTACTCGATTGTTCGGAAGTATTCATCTTTAATTTGGATGATGTGGCATCAAGTAATGCTAATTGTTCTTCGAATTTTTTCTTTGCTAAATCTTCAGTAGTATTTGGATTCGTTGTTGATGTCGGAGAAAGTTTTGTATTATCATTATTTGTTCGTGCAATAGATGAAGGTACAAGTTGTTCAATAGCTGTTAGACGAGAACGAGAACCTTGACGTAATATTGTTGGCATAACTGGTGGTGGCGAATGAGATAATGGTAGATTAGTTTTTACAATTGAACTACTGGTTGTTATGTTATCATCGAGATCATCGTATAGGTTGGAAGTAGGTGGTGGTGGTGGTGGTAGTGGTGGTGGCGGTGGTGGAGGTGGCGGTTGAATTTTTTCATCCGATGGTGGAAGCGGCGGAGGATCAATAATTTTTTCATTTTGATTTTTCTTTGATTTATGTTGCTTCTTTTTGTGTTTTCGAAATTTTTCTAAAAAAAAAAAGTACGATTAATTAGAAAGAAAGTTTCTTTTTATTTTTAAATATTGCCTTCATGGTTTCTGGAGCTTGATTTCGAATTCTAAAAATGCAGATATATAAATGTTATATAGGTTTAATGAAAAATAGAAAAAACACAATATTAATACTTTGAATATATATTTAATTAGCTAAAAATTGAGAAAAAATAATTAGAAATTTTTAAGTAAACTCTTTAGTCAGTTTTTATCAAACCCAATGAAAATTTTCTCGTATCTCATAGGGAAATTCAATGACGTTAGAAGATATTAAATAAAAACTTACACTTTTCGATTTTCTTGAAACTTTATCACTTGTTGTCGGCGACGATTCTATTAGAAATAGACAAAACAGAAGTAGATTAGAAACTATTTCAAATAATTTTGATGTAAGATCCAATATGAATCGATCGGGGAAAATAGTTGCGCGAGCATACAGTTTTAGCTAGACTAAAAAAATGCATTGTGTTATGGCACAGAGAAGAGAGAGATATATATATAGATATATAGACAAATAAAAAATACCTCGTTTTTATTCTCCTGAAAAACAAAATTAAATTAAAAAACCAGATCACAACAATCGTCTATAAAATAAAATAACACACAAACACATTTGACAGAGAGAGAGAGATATACGAAATAGCTCCTTCTGTTTTTTTATATTTATTATTACGAGAAGATAAAAAAAAGTAGAAAAAGAAAGAAGAAATATGCATGCAAATAAAGAAGCAAGCTAAGGACAATGGATTAACGTGCATGTTTTATCGTTAGTAATTTACTGTATTTAAATTAAAGTGCAAAATTTAACACGATTACCTCACCATATTGTTCTCTGCGTTTTTTTTCTATAGATAACGATGTTCAGTGCTACAAGCATATAGAAATAGCGATAGGAGGCAAACAAAAACAAAAATCAAAAAAAGGAATATTCACAACAAACAAAGCCAAAGAAATGAGTGGATCAATTTTCTTTCTTTTATTTTTTTCCTTATAAATTTTGTTTTTTTGAACAGAAAGAAAAAAAATAAATATTATTTATGAATAATAAATAATAATGATTTTTACCTCTTGCATATGAATATGTTCAAAGACTAAAGTTGGTAAAAAAATAGAGGATTGATCATTTCGAATTTTCAAAAAACAATAACAAGATTTTATTTAAAGAAGGCTACATGTGATGTAGTGCAGCAAAATAACACAATCAAATATTTAAACTAACTAGATGATTTTTGTGCAATCAATAAACAAAATTTATTTATAGTATAAGCAATCATGCAAAAGAGCAGCAAGAATGATACAATATATTGTCATATAATCAATCAACCATCCAATACGGAATGAATATTTATATATATGATGAGCACCTGATCGTAAAGAGAGAGGTTCTTTCCTACAATAATAATAGAAATATGCCTTTGCTCGTTTGCTGTTTTTCTGTTCATAATTTAAAAGCTTGATATAAACAATCTCACAAAACTCGCCTATCCGAAGAGCAAAGCATCCAAACACACAGATTTTCAAAAAAGCATAAGGAAAAGAAGAAGCATGGTTTTTGTTAGTATAGGAAATTTGAGGCGGTTACTGATCTGCTGGACGACATATTGATATTGTACCATTGCGGAAGAAGATGATGATGATGATGATGGCTGATTCCATGAATAGAAAACAAAAACAGAATATGTATATATATAAACATCTTAGCATGCACAAGTACATCGTGTTCAAAGTAAGCAGTAGTATTAGCAGTAGCAGCAGCAAAAAAAAGAAAAAAAGCATAGATAGAAAGAGAACATGCAAAGAAGATCAACAAATATGTGATAGAATACAAACACGCCATGATGTGAATATTTATTATATGTTAGTTTAATAGAACAGATCGTTCGTTTATTAATAGTATATGTTTTTTTTTAAACTGTTGGTTAATCTGTTGTTTTTGCTGTTTTGATGGGTAAATCTACGCGCGCACAACACCCACGAACAACAACAACAACAACAATAATAACAACATGAACAGAAAAAAATGAAGAAAATAAAATGAAATCCTAGATCTCTCTCTCTCCTCCAGCCTGTTTTTTTTTATTTTCGTTTTTACACGCCAAGCATCGTCATCCTAATATTTTATCTTGTTTCATTTTGTTTTGAAATATATTAACTTACGGTATATAAGAAATCTCAACTGTCTTCCTTCATCTTCATCTGTATATTTATCAACAGAAAAAGAGAAAAAAGAACGAGAAGAGAAGGAGGCATATTACCTTCTTTTTTTCAAACATGATCACTAGAATAGAGCAGGCATCAACAACATCGGTATAAAACTTTAATTTTCAAAAAGAGAGATTTTTGTTTTCTCTCTGTATTAAATTTAATAAAAAAAAAGAATACAAATCCGATGTTCATCAAAATCTTTTTTAATTCATATAAACCTCAAGGCATAATTTTACCTTTGGACGTCGACGCAGATGCAACTACAACAGTTGGACGTAGACTTGTATTGCTTGTTATAGAAGCCATCGCTTTATTTCTATTTAGAAAATTAGAAAACGAAATTATTAGAATATTCATGAGAGAATTTTGTTTTCATACGTTAATCGTTTGATCGAATAAACAAATGAAACGATACACAGAAATTTTATTCTCTAAAAAATGCATAAGAATAAATACGTAGATTTATTATTATAATGTAATTCCTATTTTTATTTACGAAAGGTTTAAATAGACGAACTCGGATGAAAACATATACACACAAAATAAATGTTACTTCATCAGTTTAAAAAGCAAAACAGCACGACTGACAGAAGAAAAAAAACAACAACCTTGTATCAGATGTTCTCCATATATAAAACACTATAACCTCTTTATTGTTGACTTCCTTGTGCAAGGGGTTTATAGAAAAAAAAAAACAGAAGCGACATCTACATTATTGAATACTAATTTTTTTTGTTTCAAAATTCTGTAGTGATTAATTTGCTTAAAAAGGAAAAAAAAATAGGATTTGATGTTTACTTTAATTGTAATTATAATCATTTGTTTTAAAATTATCTAAACATATGAAGCCCACCGAGAGAAAGAAAATCTCCTCTCTTATCCTCCACACATCTATGTAGTACATGTTCGCTGGTCCCCAAGACTACGCATAATGTAAAACATATATGAATATTGTATTGATTGTGGCATATGAACTACTTAGGTTTATTTAATTTAGACGAAAAACAAATAAAATAAAGCTTGTGAAATTGATTGTAACATATTTGATGGAGTACCAATGAATTGATTCTGCGAAGTGTATCTTGAATCGTATCAAACGTTTTATTCTCAAGGACTGAGATTATTTATGAATAGTTATGAAAGTATTTCCTTTTAGTGAATTTATGTTTGAAGCGCAACTAAAAACTTCATCAATGTCTGCACCGCTCATTTTCTTTCTTTTTGTTCTGTGTTCTCATTGTCGACAAGCAATATCGATGTCGAAAGAAAAAAAATGAAAGAAACATGTTGCATAGTAGGAGTTTTTTTTTTGTTTTATCAACAGAAAACTGACAGGTGGGAGTGACTGTTGAAATCATTGGGGAAAAAAAAGAATCGTCATCGTTTCTGAACCATGTGTCGATGGGGTTGTTTCAATTATGAATCCGTAAGAAGATAATTGATTTTGTTCTAATTAAGACAGTATTATATTTTACAGACGTACATGTGTAAATTTTGCGGTACACGTTATTGTTCTGAGTGTCTTCATGGAGATTTCTATGGAACAATGAAAGAGCCTGATCAATGCCGTAAATGCAATCAAGTAATTTATTTTGATTGAAAGTTCAATTTATTTTCGAAAATTTTCACTGTATTTTTTTTTTATGTAGCCAAAATGTCAAGGGAAACGTGTTGAAGTTGTTGTGTTTGCACCTGGTACTGAGCCAAAAGCACCAAAAAAATCTGCCAAAGGCGGAAAAGGTTCAAGCAAAGCGACTGGCGGCAAAAAATCAAAGAAGAAAAAGTGATTAATTGAAGACGGAAAAGTCAAAGACAGAACAAAAGATAATTTTTGTATTGTGTCATTTTATTTTTTTTTTCTTATTCAAATTTATAAGGAAACAGAGATAAACATATGATGATATCAAATCACAAATTTTTCTATATATATACTTTTTTGAAGCCGTTTTCTCATTATAAATCAAGAAGACAGGACAATGCTTTTGAAGCTGACTGTCTAATCAGAAAAGCAAATCACTTCGCTTCAGTGACAACTAGAATATTAATGAGAAACAAAAGGAGATACAGATAGCAGCAGACAGACTAGCAAAATGTTAATTCAGGATAACATATTATCCGACTATGAGCATGTATTTAAAACAAAGAAGAAGATGAAGAAGAAGAAGAAGAAATCCATCAGTTCTTTTAAGTCAGTAATAGTAGACAAGATCGAGGGAAAAAAGAAGACATATCTGATCTTGGTTTACGCCTATTTTGGAAAGGCTTCTTTCTAAATGACAAGAAAATAGTATAATCTTTTGTCATTCTTGTTTTTGTTACTGTCGATTCTCATATTCAATAGTTACTAAAAGAAAGCACACGTATTATTGATCAACATTTATAAAACGAACGATCATCTATTTCTCATTAGTTTTCTTATTGTCCGGCAACCATACAGGCAGTTAATATCGGCGCAAGTGTCGCCACAGCGCGGCCTGCTTGCGAAACCCGTCAACGTTCAGCTCATTATTCAATGAGTTCAACAGCACCTGGACGTCCATCAATGCCTTTGATAATGCATAAAAAATCTTCTTCGCCAAATACTAGTGCAACACTACATTCGGAGTCAAAACGTTCGACATCGATCGAAGTCATTGCTGATACAGCTATACCAAAAATTAAGATAGAATCACCCAGTGGTTTTAATTATCAAAATTTAGCTGAATCAACACCGTTAACTCTACCGAAAGCAAAATCAAAAATTAGATTACCTGTACGGTCACATAGTTCATCAAATGCAGAACTTACTTTTCATTTACAACAATTGAAAAATATCGGTAAACGTAAAACAACAATTAATGGAGATGATCAACGTAGTAATCATAATAATAATAATGACGAACGTATACAATTGACATCATCAAATCTTAAAGTTGAATGTGATGATAATCGAACGGAAACAAGCATACATAGTCCAACAGATATTGAAAAAGCGGAACCAAATAGTCAAGTGCCTATCGCATGGAAACCAACTGCACCACATACCAAAATTGAAAGAGAATCATGGGACCATAAAATTGAATTTCTACTTGCTGTGATTGGTTATGCAGTTGATTTGGGTAGGATCGATTTTGTTTTTGACATTTTAAATATTCATAAATATATTTATATTAAGGTAATGTTTGGCGTTTTCCAACAGCTGTTTATATGAACGGTGGTGGAGCTTTTTTCATACCCTATTTCATTCTTTTAATATTCGGCGGATTACCATTATTCTAGTATGTATTTTATTCTAAAAATTTTATGCTAATTTTATTTAATCGAATAGTATGGAACTCGCTCTTGGTCAATATCATCGATCGGGCGTTTTCACTGTTTGGAAACATGTAAGTTTTTTCTAATGCATATTGCGTAGGCGAATTCTATCTCTATGTTTGACATCAGTAGCTAATGTATCTCTTTCGATATCGAATAATTTTTATTTCATTCGTAGATTTGTCCATTGGTGAAAGGAGTTGGTTGGGCAACGGTATTAATTAATTTCATGATGGCAATGTTTTACAATACAATAATATCATGGGCCGTTTTTTATTTAGTTATGTCATTCAAAAGTATCGGATCTGAATTGCCGTGGAAACATTGTGGTCATTCATGGAATACCGAATGTTGTGTAGCAGCTGATGTAGTACAATATCAAGCACCAGTAAAATTATCTAATTTAACAAAAAAAATGATGAACAAAGCGATGATGAATGCAACATTATTATTAAAAAGATTACCATCACATTGTAAAAGATCAGTTTATTCAACAGAAGAATATTTCTAGTAAATATGGTGTTTTTCTAGATATTAATAGATTTCGGTTTTTCTATGTTTGTTTCAATTTTTTTTTCTTCAAGTCGACGACTTCAAGAAGTAGATAAAGCCGAAGGATTTGATAATTTAGGAAAAATTAAATGGGAACTTGCTTTCTACTTATTCATTGTCTTCATTGTTGTCTATTTTGCCCTTTGGAAAGGAATTAAAAGTTCGGGAAAAGTAATCTATATAATAATGAATATAATAATCGTATTTCTTACTTGATAATTTTTTACTTATTAGGCAGTATGGATTACTGCTATTGCACCATATATTGTTCTAATCATATTATTAATTCGTGGTGTAACTCTATCGGGTTCATTGATTGGCATTAAATATTATCTGGAACCTAAAATGGAATTATTAAAAAGTTTTTCCGTACGATTAAATTAGTCTGGTTGAATGATAAAGTAGATTTTCTTCTATTATCGATAGATTTGGAATGCAGCAGCAACACAAATATTTTTTTCGCTTGGACCAGGTTTTGGTGTTCTTTTAGCTTTATCTTCTTATAATAAATTTCATAACAATTGTTATCGGTAAAAATTCGTTTTATTAAGTATCGTTTATCACGCTATTTTGTTCTAGAGATGCTTTACTAACTAGTAGTATCAATTGTGCAACATCAGTTCTAGCTGGTTTCGTGGTCTTTTCAACATTGGGCCATATGGCTAGTGTATCAAGTAAAACAATTGAACAAGTCATTGAAGATAAAGGTAAATAGAAAATAGTTGTTCCAATGTCGAATAGATTATGATCGAAAAGAATAGGTTCTGAACTTGTGTTTATTGTTTATCCACATACAATTGCTTTAATGAATTGGTCGACATTATGGTCAATACTATTCTTTTTTATGCTGATTACTTTAGGCATAGATAGTACAGTAAGAATTTTAATCTCTCCACTAAATCAAACGATCATGCTATTGAATTTAGTTCGGTGGTCTCGAATCAATTATTACTGGTCTATGTGATGAATTTCCGAATCTATTTGGACGTCATCGATCATTATTTGTATTGGGCGTTCTTGTCATATGTTATTTAGGTGCATTACCAACGTGTACCTATGGTGGAGATTATATTGTCAATTTAATGAATGAAATAGCCGTTGCACCTGCTCTTCTGTTTGTCGTATTTCTCGAATGTATTGCTGTTTCGTGGTTTTATGGTAAAAGGTTTTTGTTACGAAAAACAAAATATTCACGAAAAGTTCTCTTTAGGTGTCAATCGAATGGCAGATGATATCGAAGCAATGATTGGTTCACGGCCATCATTATTTTGGCGAGCAATATGGTATCTTATTAGTCCAATATTTTTACTCGTAAGTAAAACTTTTTGTAGCGAACAATATTGAAAAGGCAATAGAAGCAATACATCGGTAAATGCTGGTTTCAGGATTTTCGTTCTACTAGTAAAATTTATTTTCAATGTTAATTTGAAATTTGCGTAAAAATTGGTCTGAACAATCACGAAGTCAGAATATGGTATAGGGTCGTGTATATAAATAATGCAGATGGCCAACTGACGCCACTACTATGAGTCAGAATAAGAAAAATAAAAATAGTTATAACTTTCATGAGAAATTCGACAACGAATTTTCTTCGTGGTCCTAAGTGGCATTACAAAATGTGTTGAAAAATCTATCCATGTTAATCATTTGATTTATTTTGTTAAAATATTATCATAGATGATATTTTATATTTCCATGAGTAATTTACTCGCTGGCAACATTGAAATCAAACGAGTTAATTTACGAAATTTGCCAACTAATGTTCAAATATGGTCTTATCTGATTGTATTCGTACCTATATTATGCATTCCAGCCTATGCTGTTTATAAACTAATCATAACACCCGGTCGAAATTTCGATGAGGTAACTAAAATAGTTTCGCTTAAAATTAGGAAAAATTCAATTTTTCTAATTTTAGCGTCTTCGACGATCTATCCAACCTGAAGAATCATATCATGAACACTTGCATGGGTTATCGAATGGCGAACAACTCGAACAAGATAAAATTCAAATTTTGTAATTGATTATTTCAATGGTACAAGTCAAAGAAAAAAAAACACAAAAAATATATTTATTGTCCACTACTCGTTGGCAAATGGCGTTATCAATTTTTCATCGACATATTGACCAGGAATGCGGGTACTTACTGACCCTTTTTTTTGTTGTTTTGTATAAAAAAAAAGTATTTAAAAAAAATAATTTTATTTAATAAATATTTTACTTCCCAGTAGTTCGAGACCAACTTGCCCAGATAAATTGACTTTCGTTTTCACTGCCTAGACCAACTTGATGACTAAGTATTTCTTTTCTCATGTTCGTATTATTTCAAAAATATTTGAAATAGAACATCTGTAATAAGTTCATATAGTGCCACACTGACTACTATAATAAAACAGGATTTATAATTTTAAAAGTTTGATTCGTTTAGTGCGTAGGATATTGAATGAACATAAGAAAAACATAGAACTTCAAATGATTCCTACGGAACTATTTTTTCGCTCTACTATGTAAAACGATTGTGTCAATATGGTGTTGTTTGATATTTAGTCGGCATTACTAGAAATATAAATCAATAGTCTTTTTTCGAGGTTTCATATTATTCTTTCACGCACTACTGTAAATTTCCAATAAATATCAAAGATTCATTTGAATCGTATTTCGAAGTAGTATCTACACGAGAGAAAACTCATTCCGGCATTCCCAGCCATTCGAATGGCTCGGAGCGAGCTTCTTCTTCCCTTGAAAAATCTAGTCTAAACAAGGAATGTCACGTGAATAAAAATAAAATTTCCCTTCCTGCAAACTTTTGTTTTGGTAAGTGTCTATTGAGAATTCTTATCATCAGCAAAGCTTGTCACTGATAGAAAAATGACAATTTAAACTAAGTTTTTCTTTTCTAGTATTGTAAGAAGCGTCGGATAACATAAAGAATGCTATTCATTTTCTTCTTAGATACTGATATAGTCTATAGCTATTTGAATATATCAAAAACCAAACGTGACACGCAGACAAAAAAAAGAAAAAAACGATTCTTTTTGTTTGTATTTAAGGTAAATTTTTATTCATCTTGGAATCAAAAGTATTTTCAAGTCCAACATGTCCAATATTTGTTGAAATTTCTCCACAGTTATTTTAGTTCGATTTTTTGAATTAGTTAAAAATGCTTCGATTGTTCGTCGTTTACTTTTTGGAAGCGATTGAAGATGATCTTTTTGCAAAGGTAGAATTTTTCGAAGTTGTTGATTTAAATCATCGCGGTGATAACTACGAGAATTTTTATGCACCGAAAATGTATTCGGCGGGCACGATAGCGTTGTTTTCACGGTAGTATTACGTTGGGGCCAGAAAAGAATAACAGCAAGAAGAATACTAAGAATAATGATCACAAGATTTTTCTTCAGAGGATAATACCATGGCGTTGTCTGTTTTTCAATAGCGGTTGATTTCTAAAAGTAAAAACATCGAATGTGATAATTTGAATAAACGAAAATGGAATTGAAATATATTTCTACGCCTATTAGATTGTATGCTACAGCGCATCGGTATTACAACTATCAAGTTATTTAGTTACGAATATTTCATAAATATGAGAATTAATTTTCATCAGCGATCGGAACTCTCTTGAGTAATGAAGAATCTAAAATGCGTTGTAATTTCACGACTTTTTTTTCCCATTGAAATGTATGTCTATTGAATTCATATACTACTATTGTGATAGACGATAAAACATGGGTTAATTATACTTCAAAATCAAACTTAAGATGGAAGTCTACATTTACTATTTTCATTAAATACATTTTTTCCCGAATTCCACGTAACGGAGCCTATGTAAATAATGTATATTTCATAGCCGTAATAGAATATACAAACTATTTGCATCTTTAGATTTGACAATTAGTGTTTCTCACTCGAGATTCTCTTGAGTGAAAAAATTCAGTAGGGATTCTGTTTTTTTATTACTATTTTGCTCAGTTTTATCGTTCGTTTTCTTTTATTCCTAACTAGAAGAAGCATAAAAGATCTCAAATGTCACAAAGAAAATAAAACAGATCGATTACTTTGCAAATGACTATTTCGTTTCTATCGACCTTAATAAATTACGGCAGTTTAGAAAAAAGGATTTCTTTTTTCTTTACATACAATTTTGTTCTCAGTTTTATCGTTCTCAATTAGAAAAATGTCTTGATCACTTACATCATAGTTATTGATTTCTTCTGTTGTTTTTTCGAGTCTGGATGGTTCTGTATTTAACACTAAGAAATCTTGGTTAATTGACTCGACTGAAGTTTGACGAAGCGCGAATCTTTTCAAAACATGATTTTCTTCAAATGTTGTTTCACAAACATGATCTGATGATCGAAGCGAAGATAACGTGTCATCCTCACTGATGTAGTCAATGTCAGATGCGTGTGACGAAGAAAGAACTTTCACTAGCTCACGTGTCACGCTTTCCGATGAACATACAAATGAATCATTGGTATGTGCCGTTGACGGGATAGGACATTTTCTAACCGGAAAAAAGAACAAATCCGAAGCAGATACCGACGTACTCATGGCATCATTTGATGATGGTTGCATATCTTTGTCTATAAAATCTATAAATGTTGTTTGTGATAAATTATCATCGGACTTGCTAAGAGTTCGAGTATGTTGTCGATCGGAAAAACATGACGAGCTGAGTGAAACATCAATACCACTATCGCTGTTTTTCGATGCATCATCGATCATAACATCTTCATATAGTGCCAATCCTTTTTCATATTCGTACATAGCATGTTTCAGTTCGCCTTTAGCTTTATAAACTGCAGCGATATTTAAATGGCTGTCAGCTACACAAAGTGTGTCGGCAATTCTTTCATATATTTCCAATGATCTTCGATGATAACAAAGACTTTCATCATATTCACCTTTTTCTTTGGTAACATCGCCTAATTCAACGTAACATTTGGCAGCTAATCGATCGTCTTCAATTGATTCGATACTGTTCAGCATTATTAGTTTTTTTTGATTTATCAAGTTATCGTAAGAACAAGCTTAGCAAACGTTATACTATTGTTCTTTCTGCGTATTTTCACTTAATCGAGTTATATACATACGTGTATAAGGTTTTTAATAGGCATACGTACCGTCAACAAGAAAAACAAAATGCGAAGAATAATTTCAGGAGTAACGGTAAGCGTTAAAATTGTTTTTTTCTCTTCGTCATTAAAAATAGCTCCGAATGCTGCAGACAAGTGAAAAGAGAAAGAAAAGAAAACAGTAGAGAGAAAAGAAAAAGAATGAGGTCGGCACCAAAACAAGAATTGTCAGGTAAAAAAAAGGAAAATAAGCAGTTATGCTTTAATTATCAACAATGCTTCCAATTTCACGAATATATCTCGCTCAAATAATCCTATACCATTGCTTATTATTTACTCCAACGTGTACATTAGTTTTCGAGTAAGGTTGAATAACATTTTTAGATGCTTTTATTTTGTGCACATTCGGTGTTTCTTTAAAGTATTCGGAATATTATTATCCTAAGCAAGAGTGCCTTACACAAAATGTAATGAATGCATGCTTTGATAAAATTTCTAAAATCAATTTCTATGATTGTCAACAGGTCATGTTGTTCGAATTGTCAAGGCTTTTTTTGTTGATTTTGAACAAGCTTGTTGCTCTTCACTTTAGTTGTTGTAGATGCGGATGAAGTTAACGTAATAGAACTTCTTTGATGCTGTCCTATGAAATTCGAAATTACTCGATAAGATATAAGCATCATGCTAGTAGTCTGACTGTGCTGTTCTTTGTGGTATTGCCAGGAGTGTCCTTGGTGTATTTTTTTTCTTCACAACACCCTTACTACTTTATCCTTTTATTTGATTTTCATTCTATTTACTACAGATGTATATGGGCCTACAGTTCTATGGATTCTTTAGAATCGATATAATTATAGGGTGAAAAAAAATGCTGATAATAATAAAGTAAGACATATTCGATCCAATATTCGCCATTATACACTGTGTCGACTGCAGCAGTATTAGAAAGATTGCAATTTTACAAATAAAAACTTATGACGCTTGAATAATGAAGTAACAACAAACTAATTTATTGAGACATTCACAAGTAAATAGAAGAAGAATGTATTTTTTGTTCAATGCAATAAGTTTTTTAGGATGGGTATCGGAATTACAAAAACATTTCCTCATATGAATCAGAGATAACTATTATGATCATGTATTGGTATACTTTACTGTTTTAATGTTTTTGCTCAAAATATAGTCTCCTGAGAAATCATACACGAAAGAGAAACAACAATGTTCCATACGAACGAACAATTGTGATTATCATGAGATTGTGAACTCTTTTTATCAGCAACATTCTTTATTTCTAGTTAAATCATGTTTTCAAGCCGTGATAATCACGCATTCTTTATTAACGATACTTGATAGAACAGCTAATTTTTTTTCTTCTAATTTTCTTTGTATCAGTTTTCTGTAACTCCATTCAGGATTTTACTTAATTTCAGTGGTATTGTAATATTCAGCCCTTGTGGAACATTCTATGCATAGTAACAAATTGAAGAGTGCGATGATTGAGAAGGGACAACGGTGTCAGTTTCTTAATACTCGAAAAAGAAATCTTCCATGTGTCATTTATGAATCAGACAGTTCCGGGTACCAAAAAACAAATATATATATATATATCGGAAACCATTGCAATTCATCATTCTATGAGATATGGTTGTGATGGCCAAGCTGAAAGATGAATTTGGAAGACTTATATGCAACGCAGATATGGGGTGACGGACATACAGGCAACTATGATCAAAGTAAGTGGTGCTCTGCTGGTCAAATATGCGCATGGTAGTAATTAACATGAATATAGCTGTGCATTCTTATACGGTATTTTGATGTTCAAGCTACATGTGAATGCTTTTTAAATAAAAGAATACTAAAATCAATGAAAGAAACTGTGATAAAGAACTTTATTAATTGCAATCAGTCGCTGTAGGCGATAGAGATTATTTTGATACAGCTGTAATTTTATTGTAATTGATGCTTTTGTGAAATTTATTTTTGAATAACATGCTAATAAGCCAATCATAAGAGCACAATACGAAAATTTGTTTATGTTAATTTTATTAATACATTTTAGCTTTTGTATTCTGTTGAATTTCGAAACTTGAAAAGAATCAAAGAACTTCTATAAATATATCAAATTGCTACATGAAGAAAATACGGAATTTATGTCAATGACAATTTATTTACAGTTAACACTGTCTTGTTGGATATCTTAGAAGGCTGCTCCAAATATTTATTGTTTTAATATATTTTGATAGGTGCATAATCGTAATCCGTAGTTTTCATGTTTGAGAACAGCAGACACTTCTCCCATTTTGAAACTGATCTATAATAGGGAATGAGAGGTGTCAGAACAGTAAATTGAACAGATAAAGTTGGAATCATTTCCGTACACATACACAACTAAAACGATACAGATAACTATAAGGAGTTGTCTATACTTAGTAAATTAATTTGAATCGAAAATGAAGATAATATAATAGGTTAAACTAGGGTGTTGGTGTTCTCATATGAGAAGGCTGTTGCAGCTGAGTCAATATTTGGTTTTACCTGCCAGTGAAGTCTCAACAAAGGATTTATCTTTTCAGTTTCAGCTACTTTCTTGATTCGTAATCTTCAAGAAATAGCTCGATAAACAGTGTTGAAAGCTAGAAATTCTACTGCATTCGACTGTAATTTATTGAAGTGTTCATTACAGAAAAAAAGAAAGTAATCAAGATTGAATAAATTATTTTTTTAATGCTTATCAAACTCCGAGAAAAAGATCAGCACTGGTCAAAGTTACATTGTTTGAATTAAAAAACCAAAGACTAACAGTATAAAGCTGACCAGTAATAGTTGAAAATGTTTGGCTCATATAATCGGCGACTGGCAAACCTCCACCTATATAATAATAGGAGCCAGAGTTCGCATAGAAGTGAACGCCAGAATAAGTAAAATTACTAGAATTCGCTTTAACTCCGCCAGTGTTGGATGCACTATTTTGATTACAATAAGACCATCCTGTAAGATTACCATATTCAAAACCACCATTAACAAGTATTTCCACACTGGGTGCTGTATTACTCCGTACAGAAATATCGTCAAGTGCAAAAAAGCCGTTTGATCGAAAAAGAGAAAATACAATACGAGACGGACTTCCAATCGCTGTATAATTAGTAACAAAGTTATAATAGTAAAGAAGAGTAGAGCAATTGATACAATTAGCTATCATGCTAATGCCAGTCCAATTTGCCGTGCATACATTTGATGTTATTGCTAAATTCAAATTCTAGGGAAATATTATTGATTTGAAAATACTTACTAACAGTAGCAGCAGTAGTTGTTGCACTAGACGCTAAATATTTTGGTAAAAATATTAAAACAAGGTTTGTCGAATGTGCAAGTGACTTACTGGTAGTAGATTGTGTAGTGGAGCTTGATGTCGCTTGAATAAAAATTCTTCCTATGCGATTTGTTTAGAAAAACATTTTAGACTCACTTGTTGTGCTACTGCTCGTTGAACTTGTTGTGCTACTAGTGCTGGAACTACTCGAGCTGCTAGATGCTGTATAAAGAAAACAGATTGAGCTAGCAAATGCTAATGTTAGTAATATTTTCGTTGACTATACATGTACTCGTAGTACTACTGGTCGAGGATTGGGAGCTTGTTGTTGTTGTTGTTGTACCTTAAACATATGATAAAGTAATTTATTTTTCGATATAAACTATTTGTTTAGTTATGCTAGTTAGTTTCGTTGCGAGTATGATTTACTCTTAAAACTATTTTATAAAGTATACTAAAATTTAGAATTTTGTTTGCGAAAGGAACCACTGTAATTTATCAATAAGAGAAAACTAAGTATATACTTGTTTGAACGGTAACCGTTGTTTTCGGTAAAAGCCATAAGACTGGTACTACGATGGCAACAGTAAAAAGTAATATCAAAATCGTGGGTAAAATTAGACAAACAACGAACGATCGATTCGGACATAGTTGTTGACATCGTGTTGTTTTCGTAGGTACGTCGAGAGCACTATGAAATTGTTGAAAATTGTCAGTTTCGAACAAAAATGGTTTAGAACTGGGAGTTGTAGTTGAAACAGGAGCAAGATCAGTATTGTTCACTGGTTGTGACGAATGAGCAACAGTATCAATCAAATTATAATCATTTAATGGCATTATCTTTGAGAAATTATCGATGAAATTCAGTATTGAGCTATTCAATTTTACCTTTGAAGCAGTCTCAATTGAAGGAAGTCGTTGAATATTCTTGATATCCTATACAAATCTCAACTGCTCGCTACCTTAATATAGAAGAAAATCATATTACTTGAGATTTGCCCATCAGTGGATGAATCATCGGCTGTTGTAAATTTGAATTATTCTTGATTCGGAAACTGGAGTCTTGTGATAGTGTCTCACGTGCATTTGACGTTGATTCTAACGAGGACTCTTTATTTTTACTGCTTGATTCATTTGAAAGAATGCCACCGTTTTCTAAAAATGTATTAATATGCTTCACCGTTGCTACATTGTTTCTACTCTTTTTGATAGATTCTGATGCGGGCGCTTTGACTTGAGTAACATGTACAGTATTGCTAACTTTTTTCTGCTGGAAGAAAAATGACATTATAGATAATTTAAAAAATAATAGAAGTTTATATTTACAGTTTTATGACATGGATATTGTTGTTGCTTGATAGCAGTTACTACTACATGATAATGATGTTCCCTACTCATACTTGCTTTTTCTTTTGAAGAAAAAATATCAAAATTCTTCTGTGAATGCCAATAATATGAAACTGATCAGTATCGTTTTCAAAGATATAATAAACTAAAAAAGAGCAATAACAGTTTTACCGGTGTATGATTTTTGATGAAATTTACTCGGCTTCATTGAATAGTTTCATAGTTTTATATTATATTTCTAGTATTATTTCTGTACTAAACAATAGAACTGCTTTATTTATTTATTTTAGATAATAATATTTAAATTGAAATAATATTTGAAAGAATCCGAAGAAAAGACGGATCATCGATTGCAAGCAATAAATGCAAGAATTACTTATATTTGCAAAGTACATGATTCCTATTGAATTCTAATAACACAAGAAAAAAAGAAAGAAAATTGGATTCTATGCCAATATTTGTTTTCGAATGAACATCTATTGTTTTGCGAAGTTATCTCTTATATGGTCTCTTTCTAGAGAGAGTTGTTCCTGCGTCACAGAGAAAATACAAACATTTGAATCATACATTTATCCTGATTGAGAAATGTAAAAAATTCTCCTTTCACTTTTTCTTTGTTCTTAAACTGAGAAAATATGAATATGCGAAGATGCACCTCTCGATTTTCACTTGTCCACTAAAAGTGAATGAACAGTATATCTATATCGGCTGATGAAATATAAATGAATAAACTAATTGCAAGGTAAACTAATTCATCAATCATTTTGTTTATTTTATTCAAAAATATTGTGAAGCTGTTGACCGCGTTCAAAAGGTCATTATCAACACTACATTTAGACGAAAGAAAATTACATATAATATATAGCACAATTTTTATTTTTCTTTCTCTTCGATGTCCATAACAGAACGAAAAAAAAATACAAATACAATTGTTGTAAGGTGCCGCTAAAGCAGAATTGGAGTAAATTTTGTTTCTCGCGCTATTTATATATGGTTTGATAGAGCTTGAAAAGCTGATCAAGAATATGTACTTTTTATTTCGATTTCATCTTTTTTTGGCTGAGAAAAGCTTCAAAAACAAGAACGACTGAAAAAATGCTGTTTTTATGTTAAATTTAAATTTTTTACAAAAACTACCAAATTTCTTTTTCAGTTATTTTCTGAGTATTGCCAAAGTACTACATTCTGAANAAGAATTTGTACTCTTTATTTCGATTTCATCTTTTTTTGACTGAGAAAATCTTCAAAAACAAGAACGACTGAAAAAATGCTGTTTTTATGTTAAATTTAAATTTTTTACAAAAACTACCAAATTTCTTTTTTAGTTATTTTCTGAGTATTGCCAAAGTACTACATTCTGAATCAGCATGAAAACTGAGTAGGTAAATGTTATTTGGTCAGATGTAGACCTAAAAAAGAAAAACAAAACTTATCTCATATAAATAGCTCCATCACACGAAAAATACGTGTCAGTGGGCATTCTTGTAAATCTATCTAGTTTTTTCTAATAAGTGATAGAAACAATTGTCTCATCTCATTAGAGTTGCCAAACCATGGGCTACAAAAGTTATTATTTTGTTTTTTCAAATTTTTATTTTTTTGTTGAGAAATTTGAATTTTTTCGCTGTTGGGTGATAGTATGTAGTAAAAAGACGAAAAGTGTGCATTTATTGGCCAGTTTTCATAACAAGAACTAAGGCAAAAGGCAAAACCAATAGCATATTAGAAATCAGCGTTAAAATCTACATCGACTCGTATGTGTTTGGTACAAAAATATTTCTGGCGGAAAGAAGCCTGTGGTCCCCCTCAGGTATAATTTCCAAAAAAATTTTCTCCTAGTCCCCCACAGATGAATTTTTCTCAGAAAATAAAATTCAGTTAAATATATATGAGTCGATGTAAATTTTGACGCTGACTTCGAATATGCTATTGGTTTTGCCTTTTGCCTTAGTTCTTGTTATGAAAACTGGTCAATAAATGCACATTTTTCGCCTTTTTGCTACATACTATCACCCAACAGCGAAAAAATTCAAATTTGAAAAAACAAAATAATAACTTTTGTAGCCCATGATTTGGCGATTCTAATAAGATAAGATAAGTATTTCTATCGCTTCTTACAAAAAACTAGATAGCTTTACAAGAACGCTCACTGAAACATACTTTTCGTCTGGTGGAGCTATTTATATGAGATAAGAAATTGTTTTCTTTATTATATCTAAGTCTAATCATATAACATTTTCCTATTCAGTTTTTCATGCTGATTCAGAATATAGTACTTTGGCAATACTCAGAAAAGAGCTGAAATAAAAATTTGGCAATTTTTGTAAGAAAAACAAAATTTAACATAAAAATATGTTTTTCTCAGGTGTTCTCATTTCTTAAGATTTTCTCAGCCAGGCAGTAACTAAATCGAAATAAAAAGTATATATTCTTGATCAGCTTTTCAAGCTCTATAAAACCATATATAAATAAGCGAGAAAAAAATTTACTCCAATTCTGCTTTAGCGGCACCTTACGTGAATATCGGAAACGAACTTGTCAACTAAAATTTAAATACTTTCCCGAAGATAATTCAAGCGTAATTCTTTTCATAAACACAAACAGCATTGTATATTGATTTAATAAGTGTTAGAAATACTTAATAATATATATATAGACGTATTTAATGAGTTATGACTAATAGTTCATTTAATAAGTTATTGAATCCTTCTTTTAACATTGAAAAATAAATAGAAATATAGATTAAATATATCTGACTCAATTCCGTTCATGATGAACTTCAATAGTTATGAGTTTTAAATGTTTTTTACTTAATTAAACTCGTGTAATATCAATATAGCTTGTTGGTCGTGATTCATCAATAAACGGAATATCGTCGAACGTATCATAATAATAAGATTTTATTGGTGCATTTCCATGTATTAGATTTGATGCTGACTTTTGAATAGAAGAAGGCAAAATAGTTTTATCCAAATCTTGTTTACTATTTGATAATATAGTTAAAGTTATATTTTTAGTTACCTAAATTAAATCAAGATATTTTTTTCGAGTTTGATTAAATAAAAATTCTTACTGGATTGGTTAACGATGATCGAGTGTGAGTTATTTTCTCGGATTGTTCCGGTAGTAGAAGATGATCTTTTTTATTTTGGCGTTTTAAATTACGGCGCCTAAAAAATTCAAAATTGATTTTTAAACTTTTTAAATTATTCTATTTTACCACTCTTGTGAAAAAAATCATATGTCTGAAATAAGAGAGTATCCTTAGTGATTCATACGTTCCTATTCTCATTCACTCACACGAAGAATAGTTTACCATGAATGCTATTCTGAATCTCCATAGATTTCTCTATGTCTCAGTAGGATTTCATCGATTTCTGTGAAAATCATCTCGATATTACTTTTTTCGCTGATTTGCTTCCATGGATTAATTCATAATTAATGAACGAATGATTACATTTAATGCATTTACAGATTTTTATTTTCCGGTGAATTAAACAATATACATCTTAAACGAGAAAAAATAAAAGCTTAAGCTTTAGCATGATTGTCTATAATCAAATAACGAATAGACTTCATTTCAATAGGTCTATCTAGATTATCTACAGTCTTTGATACTAAAACTGATAAAAGTCAAAAAAAAACTAATAAAATTTTTTTTAACCTATAGAATATTTCATACTAACATATTTTTACGTACTTATTGAGACAAATGCAAATACATGCAGAAATGCATATCGTTAGACAGACAAGCACAATTATTGTGGTAATAGCAACCAATAGCAGTTTCAGCATTTCATCACTAACTACCCTATCATTATCGGATGAATGCAGAGTATCATTCATTGAATTGTTATTAACTAATTCTGATTGGCCGTTAACTGCATTTATATATTGAAAATCAAATGATTCTTGAAATTCAGCTTTCTCAGATAAATCCACCATATTAAATCCAATTATTGAAGATTGTAACAACTATGAATAATACATGATAAATTCAAAAGAAAAATAAGCCAAAACAAGCGGATTTACGTTTATATCTGCAAAGAAAGAATTAGGATAGATAATAATTCACATATAACAGAGAAGAGAATAGGAATTAAATTACTTATATATCAATAGAAAGAAAAAAGAAGGACTTCATAGAGTCAATGTACTCAGATTTAATATAAATACGAATCGTATTTATTAATAATGGTTGGACCTGCTGTATATGAAGCATACAAAAAGCACGTAAGTTTCCAATGATTTTCGTTTGATTATAAAAAAATTTAGACTTAACTTTATGTTTTCAGGGTAAATAAGTAGTTGTGAACGATGAGTAATCTGAGCTTAGGCATGTACGCAGTTTCAATATTAATACTGATTCTTCTTTTTCTTGTTAACAGGTTTTCTTTGAATTTTTTGTTATAGTAAACTGACGATGTTAACAAGTATAGTTTTTTTTTGATAGTTTCTCTTCATTAAAATAATACATTGGATGCGTGTGAACGAGCAAAATAGATTCAGTTCTCGTTCGCACACCAACACAAAAACACACCATTCATATTTATTTGATGGAAAAAAACAAGGAAATAGGAAAAAAAGATGAGACAAAGCAAAAACACTATTCTTTAAGAGATAATGAACAATACTTCTTTTCTTCCCAGTCCTCCTCTTAACGAACTTTTAGATTGACACAATTGAAGATGACATTCAATTCATGAATATAAAAAAAAAAACTTAATCTGATCTTAGAAGCTTTCTTTTCTTTTCTTTTACTAATTTAGTTTTGATGGCCATTGTTAATCGTCTAATAGAAAATTTGCTGGTAATCTATTCTATAGACTAGTCTACACATACATGTAAATTTATACTAAAAAGAAATAGAACAGAAATAATTCCTACTCCACTGTTCAGAGTAAGCTTCATTGCATGATTATTATGCAATTAACGATGGGGACAAAAATTTCTATACGGACTATATTTTTGATATAGCTTATAAATAAAACACCGAAGAGACTTAGATCGATTTTTCTTTTCATTGTTAGAAAAATAGGCTTTAGGATAGAATTTCTTTTCTCAAAAGCTAAAATATATTGTTAAATTCTATCATCATTTTTCGAAGAACTGCAACTTATAACATCGACTTTCTTATTGTTGATGTCTACCGAATTTTATTATCTAAGACACGAACATTTATAATACAGAATATCCTAGTAATACTGCTTTGTAATAAGTAAAAAAGATTAATGATTTTTTTTACATGATATTCAAACAAAATTTTCTTGTCGTGTTCAAAAGCTAAAATTAAATAAAAAAATGCCCGTAGATGTGTTTTCATTTTAAGTAAATTGACTGTACCTATATTTCATAAAAGTCTCCTCTTACATCAGCCACTCTATATATTTACATATAAACAATTCCGGAAACATCGATAGTAGACAATAAAAAAGGACTCTAAAAAACAAGAAATGACAGAGTTTCCCGACACCTTTTTTTCTAAAAGAAATTTTTTATGACCTTGAAGAAGAATAATTATGCACTAAATATTTTCAGTATTACATATCGGATGTTACATCGAAAATAAAATTCGTATAGAAGTTTTGCCATCCACATTATTACGAAGAAAAGCAAACTTAACTAGAATATGCTGTTAATAAATTTCTCAATAGTAGTGGCGGCAAACGAGAGAAATGTTCAATGTAAGTAAGAGAAAAAGCAGATTACAGATTTTTTTCCTCTTTAAACATAGTGTTCAGAATCAAAAAGCATAAAAAACTACACTAATCATAATGTGTATCCGAAAATAAATGTTGCCTTCATACGATAAAAAAACGCTCTAGTCAACTTACCCTTTGCACATCAAAATAGAAAAATCATAATAATAGCAATGGAGTAATAAAAATTGGAAGACACCAACAAAAAGAAGAAAAAGAAGGAAAATCCTAAGGCATCGCTTCCCTTCATGTCTTTTATGCTCGACTTCCGACGTCCGGTTTAGACAAAAGTTCTTGCTACTACTGTAACGTCGTTTGCTCAATGTTGGAATCTTTCTATGTAAATGCTTTCACATAACATTCATTAATAATTGATTTGCTGATAGAAAATAACAGATATTTCCATATTAAACTAATTACTTTGTGTTGGATGTTTATCGTCAATCGAATAGTTTTTATTGAATTTGTTTTTCTGATACTAAAGAAGTTCTTCTGTTTTACTTGATCATAAATTGTTTTCAACGCCAACATACTATTGATCTTTCTCCTCTCGATTGAAGACTACGTAAGTACTTACCCTACCCCTTTGCTAGTTGTTTGAAAGGAGTGCACACAAAGACGACACATCGGTCTCTTCCTTTTCCCTTTCACATACGATTAAATTCATTCGAAGACACAATAGAACAAGAGACTGACACATCTGATGAAAGCATGCAAACATTTAACACATGATTAATGCTACAGATTGAAATTAGCCATCATTATCGTCGACGAAGACGCTTCATCACTTTTACAGTAATGATGAATCAAAAACACTCAGACAAGAGCAGATGTAATAAGAAAACAGAAATAAGAAGGCGAACTAGAAGGAATGTTCATTCAAAAATGTCTGTAACACGATAACTTAGTTGCTTAGTTGCGATCGATCAAAAAGAAAAAAGAAAGAAAACTAAAAATATAGTTAGGTGAAGAAGAGAAGAAAATCTCAAACACACGCTGCACGCACGACTTATATTAAACATAAAAGAGTGACAAGCGAGTGAACAGTCTACTATTGTTGCATGCTTAGTCGTCTGCAGATAATGGACTCCTATGCTTTCTGCATTATTCTCTTGAGAGAAATTGTTTTCTGGCTGATTTCACACACGCACATGCATATGTATGTAATTATATACATATATATATATATTCAGCAGTGATACTCGGTCTATCTGAATTTAAATAAGAATAATTAATATTATGCCTATTCTATGTGCTATTTTTTCTTGAATAACAATTTAAAAAAAGTAATTTCCTTTCTTCGTCTTACTTCTTAACGAACATGCCATGAATATTCTGTTCAGTAAATTAGTAAGCACTTCATAGAAAAGAAAAGTGGATTTTCAAATATAATTAATTCTTTTGCTGACGTTTAATTGTCAAAATATAACTACAGAATGAAAGAGAAGAAGTTCAAATGTTTAATAACATATTATCGACGAAAGGAATTTACTCATAAAAACTTTTAATAGACATTGATCAATCATAAAAAATAAGTCCTATTAACCAGATCGACTCCATTTATTGTTGTGCAGATCGTAGGATTATTTATTTTCATATCAAACATCGTATCGATAGATCAAGGTCGAACGAAATGCATTTTTACACATGGGAATATTCTCTCATTATATATAATAAGTGTTGTTTTTGTTTGTTAATGTATCAAGAGACTATGGTGTTGACAATTACGCTTCATCTTGAATACGATATCAGATAATAGAAAACAGACTATGCGCATGATTGCCCGTGAAATAAAATCAAAGCAACATTTTATTTATACAGGAGGCATTGCACGTAAGCCACGATCAGTTACAGGAAAAGGTTGTTCAATCGATCTCACCGATTTGGCCCATATTTTTATAGGAGGTAGCCCTAACAACGTTAGAAAGAATTTGAAAATTTCAGCTCGAATGGATGATCCCTTCTGGAGATATATGCACTCAAAGTAAGACGGGATCGAAATCTTTGTGCATCGACAATTTTCAGTAAATTTTCACTTTCTCAAGAACGATAAGAGCTGTACCAAAACGTTTTTCACCATTAATAGTATAGCCAATGGCCTATCATTTGATGGTATCGAAAGTGTCTTATGTTGTAAAACAATTCTCCATGCGATCAATCTGGCTCAGAAAATAGGGCCAATTGGTCAGATCAGTGAGGCGGGTGAATGGCAATATAGTCTAGTATGAGAGAGCACATCAAATTGCATCGAATGATGTTTTCAAAACTTTGTTATTTTACATTTCAGTATGCATAGTTGCTTTTCCATTTCCGTACTAATTTAGTTCAAATCATTTGCAGAAAGCAAAGAAAAAGAAAATAATAGTGGGTTTGGAGAAAACGCAGCTTGAGGGTGTCTTTATTGTGCATGATGTTTTTCTTATCCAATATGTGCTATTCAAGATGTTTCGAATAGAATAGTAGAGAGTTTTACGCGCTATCGGAGAATATGTACGAATATTTGAATATATAAAAATGATATGTAAAAAAACTAGCGCAACGTTTTTGCCTTCAAGTGAAGTTCTCTTGAAATATCTTAATCTTGTTGAAAACATTTTCGCTACTGAAATGTAAAATAACAAAGTTTTGAAAACATCATTCGATGCAGTTTGATGTGCTCTCTCATACTAGACTATATTGCCATTCACCCGCCTCACTGATCTGACCAATTGGCCCTATTTTCTGAGCCAGATCGATCGCATGGAGAATTGTTTTACAACATAAGACACTTTCAATACCATCAAATGATGGGCCATTGGCTATACTATTAATGATGAAAAACGTTTTGGTACAGCTCTTATCGTTCTTGAGAAAGTGAAAATTGTCGATGCACAAAAATTCCGACCCCGTCTTACTTTGAGTGCATATATCTCCAGAAGTGATCATCTATTCGAGCTGAAATTCTTAATTTCTTTCTAACTTTGTTAGGGCTACCTACTATAAAAATATGAGTCAAACCGGTGAGATCGATTGAACAACCTTTTCCTGTAACTGATCGTGGCTTACGTGCAATACCCCATAGATTATTAATAACCCTTTTATTTTTTATTTTTGAGACATGCAATAATATAAGAAGAAGAAAAAAAACAATAATAATGACAACACTAAACATATAATGAAACTATATAGCTTTTGGTACCCTATTAAATAAATTGCGTAGAAGCATTCAAAAGACACAAAATGAAACATCACCGGCGTGTTTGATGTGTTCACAGTTCTGTGTAACTATAATCGCGATTAATACCAATCAGACGAAAAACTAGTGGACATGCAAAAGCAATATTAAATCCGACAGAAAAATAAGTTAAATAGTAATATGGCATTTCAACTTTAGCAAAACGTTTTATTTCAGGATCTTTCCAATCAAGTCCATATAGAGCACTTGTTACACGTAGAACACATGTTTTAACTAATTGTCGTGTTGCATAGACAATAAGTAAGCCAATTATTGTACGCAGAACACAAAAACCTAGATTTGGCGCAATTATGGAGTAAACCGGTGGTGTTAATGGTCGTTCTAAGAGACCTAATTTGTGCATAATTGCTGCGGCCGATAATAAACCAAACGTACTGCCTAATATCACAGTTGTATCTGAACGAGCTGTTGACCACTCCTTTACACTTGGATAACATTTTATTAAAAATATACCAAGAAAAAAACAAATTACAGGAGATAGTATCAAATTTAACTGGAAATCTTCAATTGTATTAATATATGGAAACATTATATAGATCAATAATAATGCATACAAAGTACCTCCAATAATATCCTACGTATGAAATAGAATAATAAATAAGATCTAAGAATTGTTCAAAACACAATAGCAAAAGTCTACATTCACATAAACACGTCATTCTATTAAAAACTAACCACTATAGCTTTGAATTTCATACTATTATCAAAAACACTAAGCTACATCAAATTTTAGATTAAGAAAAAAAGGTCTATCGATGATTCGTCAATTATAATGGCACTATCTGATATAATGGAAATTCTTGGCTAGAATATTTCCATAATTTAAGCATCCGTGAAGCATATGATCTAAAGCCAAGTATTTTATCCTTGGCCTCGAATTTTAATATCCGTCATTCGAAATTAACTCGACACTTATTCTGTTAGATAGTAAAGGGTTAACTTCTTTCACACAAACTACCATCAATTAACACTTTCTTCGTAGACAGATTCATTATTATATAATAAGCGTAAAATTTATAATTTAATTCCATTTATGATAATACTTTACAATCCTCTTTCAAGTATCCATAACAATAAAATCTGTCGATTCTCAAGCACTTGATAAAAAGAAATATCTGTATTTTTTCAAACTTCAATAAAGAAAAAGCTAACGATCATATTGATAAGGACTCGTTTATGTGTTAACTTGTTCATACTTACAAGGAATGTATGCATGCCAAGATAGATTCGACTCAGGCAAACCCATATACAAACAATTGCTGCACAAATCAATCCAATCCAGAGAGGAAACTACAATATCAAAAATAAATCAGTATTATTCTGTGAAGTATTTATTTTTTGTGTTCAGTAATTAAATTTACATCATATCTTTGATACGACAAAAGAACAAATGAAAGTGGAATACCAGTTGCAAACATAGCATGTGTAGAGGGAAAACCATATTCTTTCACATAACTAAATATAAGAGAAATCGAATTAAAACTTGAAAAACAAAACGAATAATTTTTACCGTTTCTCTAAGTGTACAACAGGTGGTGACGATGGTCTCGGCATAGTTAAAATATCTTTTGTTGCTTGTCCAACATACATAAAAAATGCCCAAAGTATTGCAACTTTTCTTGCTACACATCCATCAACATTCCATATCCTGAAAAAAGTCAAAAGAGAAAACTATATGTATAAAGAGAACAAATATTTCATTTGCCATGTTGGAAAAAATAGGATATAGAAAATTTCGTTTCCCAGTGATGATCCAAATTGAAAAAAATAATACCAAAACCATGATGTTATTTTATAATCAATAGGAGACGAAATATTTTTCTCTTCTTCAACTTTACTGCTACTATGTTCAAGTTCTTGAATGCATTCATCCAATATATTTGTATCGTAAGTTACTTTTCTTTCGTGATATGGATGGTATACGCCATTAGGAATGGACGATTTGATTTTATTGCTTTGAGTTTTATTGAAATTTTTTTTATCAGATTTTGATTTCAGATCAGGTTGAGAATTAAATATTTGTAAAACACCGAAATAACGTTGAAATCGTGCGACATGATCAGGTTGGTGAAGCCAGAAAATTAATGAGCTAATTTTATTCCACATCGATCTAAACAGAAAATATAATTAATCATTTTATAGAATTGAGTGTATATGAAAAGATATTTTATCTATCTATCGACTATAGGTGGTAGATGATTCATTTATTAATATGTGCATGATAAATCAAAAAATTGAAATAATTAACTTGTATGAAGAAAAAAAAACAAAGTAGGCGATAGAATAATTGAGTCAAAAATCGAGTATCAAGTGCACCATGAAAGGAAGGACAACGCATTGTTACTCTTTTTTTGTTTTTTACTTTACTTGCTTAAAATCTCAAGATCAAATAATTGATTGACAGATGAATCATTGTGATTGTCTTTTGTTTCTAAATTGAACCTATTGGATATCCAGTAGAATGACGTCTAGCGCCATTTTATTCATATATGTTGAGAAACTTTTTAAGGATTTAACTAACTTTGATATGTAATAATTCATAATCAATAATTTTATATCGTTTTAATTTTATTCGTCGATTTTTTTCTACTATGGTAACAGTTGTGGGAAATGGCGACAGACAAACGCACTTGCCTGTAATCTGTTAATATAATCATGTTAGCGATTTAATTGAAATGTGTTTTTGTAGAAAAACATACAAAATTTTATTAAGTAGTATGCATTTATTCTATGGTCATTTTTAATGAAATGCATGATGAAAATGTTCATATGTTTATCAAAACTTGAGACACTCAAGTGATATTTGCACATCCATTGCTTCTTTGTAGTCACAGTGTATAGCCGTGTAGTGACTAATTTTTCACCCAAACGAGCAGAGAATAGGCTAAAAAAGAGAAACTCAATTTCTGAATCACAGTCATCATGAACACTTATGGTAAGTGTCGGTGTTTTTGTATTGATTGATTGATGCTCATTGGATAAGAGAGAGAGAGAGAGAGAGAGAGAGAAAGAGAGAAATTCATTTATAGAGATCTTCATATGATTTGAACTTCAACCAGAGGTACAGTATTACAAGAAGACAATCTAAGTAATTCAACAAAATGAACTATACTAATTTTTATAGTTTGCGAAACAATTTTGTATTTCTCTTTATTAGTATTTCTATTGCAGATAAACTATAACGATGTCACTACGGGGTAGTTCATTTTCAATTCATAAATCAAAAGCGCGACAGTTTGTTTCGCTTTCACCATTAAAAATATCTGCTGCAGAACTACCACGCGAACTCGGCACACAATATCAAACAATCGATGCTCGTATTGGCGATCAAAAAATGACATATAATACTGAACAAGGCTATTGGCAATCTGGTAATGATCCATTGAATTATTCGATAACTATTTCGGCTTGTATTTTCTTCATATAGATGGAGCAGTTAGTGCGCCTATCAATTCGAGAGACATGGCTAAATTAGAGAAAACTAAACGAGAACTAGAAGAAGACAATGATGCTCTTCGTGCTAAAGTTGAAATTTTACTTGAAATGTTGGCTGAAGTTACTGCTGAACATGAAATTAGACATCGTGCTTAAGGATTGTAACATAGTTTTGTTTTTGCATTTAATTTTTATTGAAAACTAATCTCAACTTAAGGATAATAAATTTTCCCATGATATTCCTAGGAGAATAATTTTCTTGATTATTATCTTTTTTTCCTGTGATATTTATTTCGATAAATGAATACCTGCTATGGGTTGTGTTTATATTATAGTAGACTTGGTGAATATATTATAAGTCCATTTTCTCACCATCTTTTCAACTAAATCGATTTGAAAAGCTTCAAAATGATTAAGCGAACCAATACAACTATAACGCTCGAAGGCTTTCCTAGCACTACAATATCATCATTCTCATCGTTCGATTTTTGTTTTGAAAGAAATTCGTAAGGATTCATCATGAAATCGATTTTTTTGATCATCTACATGATTATTCACATCGTTAGATTTGCTGCTATTCTCTAACTCAGACTATGACAATAACAAATGGGAAATTTTCTTCGTGATTTTTAGTTTTACCTTATTTTTCAATGATAGTAAGTAAAGTATTATGTTAACAACTGAATTCATAACAAAAATATGTCATGGTTATTATAGAATCTATGATTTTCTAGGATAGACTCGACACAAATAATTGAAGTGGAAAGAGCTTTTGAACTGTAGTTATAGTCGCACCCGTACATCTTTGCAAGATTAAATACTTTTGAAAGTTAAATTTCTACTTTTAGATAGTCGATTTTTATCGTTCATATTTAAAGAAAAACGGATATTTCTGAGAGTATCCTTATTTTATTCATTGATGCATATGAATTTGTGCGCTGCCATGTTGAAATGTCAAGTATTTGCCGAGAATCTCATTTACCAATTTCATTTCTATTTTTGAAAAAAATGCAGCCTTTTGCTTTTTGACGATAGTGCTCAACTTTAATCAGCACATCAATGATAACCTTATTGACTCCAAATACTAATTTATCTAAATAAATGGATTCTCATTTTTTCTATTTCTAAGAGATTCTAATTAATGACTACTAGCCATAGGGAAAATTTTGTACAGACGAGTAAATTGTTCAATAAGAAATGTTATTTAATGTTAACAAACTTGAAAGATCTACGATGGTACATTACCGGAGAGGACTATGTAATGTGTTGAAACCAAGTTCAAATGCCAAAGTTTCATGTATCTTCAATTGTTTGATTTTTGCACACGTCTATTTTTACATTATCAACTCAGAATACTTTTACATCATTTTATCGCCTTGAAGTCCCTAGGTGGGCTTTCAAAACAAAAGTAAATTTTGCCAGAAAAATCGAAATTTAGTTCGACGTTTGATCTTGCATGCACAGCATGAATTGTTATTGGACGTCTCCTGCTGTGCGAAAATGTTTAACGATTGTTGTCGCTATCTATTTGAAAAATATGCTGTTTTCATGAAAGAGCAAAATGTTATTCATTATTTTTTTTCTATCGATACTATTTTAATCATTTATCATCGAATGTTCAACAGAGCGTTATTGGAGCCAATCGATTTTTGTTTTCTTTCAAGTTAGACGTGGAGCTATGGTACTCGTTGTTTTTTAATGAAACTTTTTTTTATTATATGAAAAGCACTTCTATGAAAAAATGACTATTTCTTTTTTGAAGAGATTTGAGAACCTAAAACAAAAAGCACCCTGTCTTGTAGTGCAGTTTGATATATGCTTTCAAATAAAAACGTGTGTGTAGCGCATCTGGCTCCTGAGCGACTTTTGGGTGAGTGGTTAGATAAGAGACAATTTCAATGGGTAGAAAAAAAAATCCTGTAAAATATTGCTGAATTTTGTTCTTCTTGTTTGTTAGAATTCAACGAATTAAAACCTACACTATTATTTTCAATACTGTATAATCTATTATAAAAATAATAAAAATGCTCTTTTTTTTACACTTGAATGATTATCAAAACTTCAGACTACTTTTAATGTCAAGTGGATAGAATTGTTTTAATTAAATTGTCAAATAAATTTAAGAAACATAGTCAATAGGCGAAAGATCAATCTTTGATCTATTTCAACATGTTTTTTGCATATGATGCTTATCACACATCCTATCACTAAGTAAAGATCTCTGAGCACGCTTTTATCAACATAAATATTATCTTAATTTCTCATTTTTTCTTATGACACAAACTGGCGCTTCGTTAAAATCCTTTGTTTGCAAGCAAACAACATAATATTATATCACTATTTTGATCTCTAATTGATCACGACTGAACTGTAATAACGACGACCTATGTAAAATACTCATGTATACGTATATGTCTTGATAATGAACATTAACTATTTTCTTCAGTAATTTATTTACCGTCGTACAATGCAAAACCGTGAAGAATACGAAAGTCACATAGCTTTTTATGTAAAACCTTTTCATGAATGGTGTGAAGTATTCGCTATTAATTAATTAATGTTTTTGCACATTTCACCAGCATAATTATTGATCTACTCTTTCACACAAGCGAATACAATTTGCTTTGAATTTCAACATATAGCTGTATGTATACAACAACAAAAAACGTATCTACTATTTTAAATTTTCGTTAAGAGTATGTGACAAAGTGTAACTCAATTGTACTTAATATTGTCTAGAAATTTGCTAGTTATGTTTGTTAATAGCATTTGCGCTGTCAAGAAAATAAGACATCTAGAATCGTCATGGAGTTCTCATAGAGAAAAATGGATACAATGTTACATACTTCTTTGGACAGTAAATAACAAAGAATTTATCAGAAAAAAAGTCATTACCAGAATTCTCTTTTCACCGATTCTATCTGTGATGTACTGCATTTGAATAAGTTAACAAATTCTGGATTGTTTCTAAGGAAAGAAGATTAAAATAATATTAATTGACAAATTTTCCTACATAATTACTAGCTACTGCTACTCATCATTAATAATAGTATGCCAACGATTGCTTGTATTATTTTAATGAATATCTACTCATTTATCAATAGTTTTTGGGCCGAAGATTCCTGAGAACCCAAGATCTTGCACACAATCTTTTTATTTTATTTAATGAAAAATGCTTTGCAAAATGTCTATCTAACAGAGAAAACATTTTTCGATGAGACGTGTTATAGATCACTTTGATCAGTCTTTTGTTTCCAAAAATCCCATCGCCCAATATCTTTCATTGAGAAAATTAGCAGGTGCCTCTTTTGATAGAATATGTTTTTGAAATAGCTGAATGTTTTCTCTGATGTGTTATCGATATTTTCGGTAAATAAAAAGGTCAAAGATACGTCTTCTCGCAGCTTTTGTTTCTATTTCATATATATATCATATGAGTATTGTTTTGATAAACGATATTCTCTTGGCATGTTATATTTGTCAACTCAGTTATCTTTTCTCAATCGATACATTGAAGTCAAGATTTGTAATTTAAAACTAGCCAATGTCATATAATATATGAATCGAAACAAAATTGATGATATAATTCGATGAAGATTTCCATAACTAGATATTAATCTGAATAATTATTCATGGTAGATTAAGCAAGATTATTAATAGATTTCAAATCCGCGTTAGACTGTTCATTGTATCATACTTGTAGAAAGAAAGAAAGAAAGAAAAACAAATTCTTTAATCTCTACTTTTCTAGTTAAGATCTCGAGCTGTCGTATAGTCACGTTATATGTCCAACAGCACATTATTGTCGATAGCCTATACAGAAACATACTGTATAATCTATTCAGTGATTAGTTTGTTTTACTCTAAATGATATATGACGCTTTGAGTACGCTTGATTTCTTCTTCTTCTTCGCACATGTCAATCTCATTTATATATACAAGGAAAATAGATTTGTGAGTCTTAACTGCGTAAGTACATACAACTCTTTCGACATCTATACAGCGACCATACACAATAGTTTGTCCTTCTAACCCACATGCGCCAACCCGAGAGGCAATGCAGTCTATTATCTTTGCAACACCAACGCCTTCATCGCATCACATCTGTTTCTCTTGGCTTGCCTGTGCACACTCTTGTACGTTCGACTACAGCGCCGGCAAAAATTCTCTCGTTCCACATACGCTTACGTCTCTTTTTCTTTTTTCTCATTGTGACAATGAAGCACAAAAAAAATACTTGGTGTTCTTCATTTTTTACCCTTTCTCTCTTTCTCAAGCGACCAGTAAGTAAATTATCCCTATCTTGACAGAGCTCACACATACACAACAGCAAGTTTTCTTCAAAATAAAAAACGTTTCAAAACTTTGCTATAATTTTGATGAAAAATCGTTCATATTCGTAGATTTTAGTAACATGAAATAGAAGTTTTTAAGAAAAAACATTTCTCTATATTATATATATTTTTTTTAATATTTTATTGATTGCAAATGTTTATATTTTTGTCTTTTTCTTTTTTTTTCTAACTGATTCTCGAGCATTTAATGAACGCACAACATAGAAAGAGAGAAAAAAAAATGGCGTCGTTATCCACATTCGTACTCGTGCGCTTGTCCGATAGCAGGCAGCTTGTTTAACATTCTCTTTTCTTCCTCACCCGTTCGCAAATGAATAATAGATAGAAGTAAACCGACGACGACAACGACTGCAGGCATGAAATGCTATATCTTTCATGCATTTGTCGTCGAAGAATAGGAAAGAAAGCAATGCATGCATGTTTGTGCATACACACATATGCGATAGGGAAAATGGGGAGCGAAAGCGTCGGTTTGCTGCTCGCTTCGTTATCGTACGCGCGCGCGCGCTCGTGCGCTCGTGCTCGAGTAATTCATTTTTGACGAGCAAGCACGCAAGCACAAATGGACATGTACGTATCATGATGTGTGAAGATGCAGGATGTAGTAAGGAAGAGAAAAGGCTGGCAGGGGAACGAGAGAGAATAAAAGCAAGAGAATTAAAAAATAGTGAATATACGAACGAAGTAATCGTGTCCCTTCGAGTCTTCTTCTATCTGCTATTCTGTTGATGATAATTAACATTACAACAATGAATACATATATATAGTAAAGTTCGAATATTCAAATCGATACTACATTTATATAAATATATATATATATATAGTTAAAAATAAGCATCATTACCCGAAGTTTTTATGTAATAAGTATGCAAAATCTCTATTAATGATTCTATGTATACTTGAAAACCTGTTCTTTCTTTTTTCCCTTTACCTTTAATTGTATATCCACTAGTGGCAGAAGCTACAGATCGATAAATAAAAACAAAGTTGATTGGCTGATTGAATTAAACTTTTCTTTTAATATTAGTTTTCAGTTTGTAATTATTTTTAAATTTTATTCAGTTCATTAATAGACATTTAATTAATCATTTCTCATACAAACAATCAATGTAAAAAGAAAAACAACTACTCAATCGTAGATTTCTTTGTATAATAATACGGCTAAATGCCTGTCATCAGGTTGACCTTAAGTGATGTCATAAATAGACTTTAGGTAGATGACATCTCTGTATAGATTAAATATATAATTATAGTTGCTGTTTTTACTATGCCTTCTTGTGTGCCTTGCTGATTTTTTTCCGCTTCTTTCATGCAGTACTTTCTTCGAAGATCAAGATTATTAAGAAATAAATAGCTATCATGCTTTTCTTTTATTTGTCTGTCGCCGTAATAATACAGAGAATGATGACGTGGCATGCGGTGTGATAGTACACAAAGAAAGAAAAGAAAGCACACAAAGACTTTTTTTCTCGAAATCATTTATCTTTTATAATCAAATCAAAATGCAAAAAAAAAATCTTCAACAATGTACTTAATATGAACTCTTATTATAAATCTTGTCTTTTTCTATTTTTCTAGATAACAACAAATTCATTGTTGCGAAGATGTTCTTCATTGATTAAATGTATTTTTTTTGTTTCGCTTCCTCTAGTCTAATATCTTCCGGATGAATTGATTTCAATCATTATATTTATATGTAGTATCGCTATATCATAACATAGCAGCAAAACAACGCAACAAGCGAAAACGAAAGGGAAAAAGAAAAATCTTTATTAGCACGTGAATCTTTCGTCGTCTAAACGCATATAAACAGAATGAAAAAAGAAACGAAGAAAAAATCCATTGTGCAGTTCATTTATTCATTCATCGTCCGAATTCAGTGGGGCAAATGTGTTCGATGTACACATGTCGATTTTCAGTCAGTCAGTCAGTCAGTCAGCTACTTGTAGTAATATAGTATGTGTGCGTAACCGAGTGCATTTCTTTCCTACGTATTTCGAATAGTTACGATTGAATATGAAAAGGAAAGAAAAAAGAAAAAATCTTATTTATTCTAGATTCGATGAATCGACCTCTTTTTCGAGCAAGAAATCTTGATCCGAATAAACGTATACCACTGCTCGTTGATCAACATGATGATAACAATAATGATCTCACTAATTCATCAACAAAATCAGCTCCTAGCAGTAATCTTCTTGTTTCCCTTTCATCCACACCCACCACCACAAATCAGACAACTCAAAATCCAATCGGATCAACTTCACAATTACCACAACGATGTGTATCACAAATGCCATTTGTGTCGGGCATGGAACGAGAAGAAGAAGCGGTAGAAATCATTTTAATTTTATTTCTCATGGCATACCGATGCTTAAAAAGCTTTCTTTACTTAAATAACAAATCTTGTAGATCGAATAGGGAAAGAAACCACTATTTGATTTTTAACAAAAGTTCATTTTCTATGCTGCAATAGAAGATATCAATTTTCCCTAGAATATACTCTTTTATTTTATATTTAATACGTTTTTGGGTTAGGTTGACTTTGAGTTCGAGATGGATATTATTTCGTTTCTTTGGAAGTTTGCTATACAATAGAGTAAGCTAACTTTTGGCTCTATACAAAACAAAAGAGAAGACTACTCATTGAGTTTGAAAAGTAAAGATGTTTTCTTCTAGGAGTATCACCTTCAAAATGCTCTCGATGCCCAATGTCGACTTGGTTCAGCTAAAATGCGTGCTGTACCAATACCTGATTTGTACGAAGATCAAAATAGTAAATCCATCTATCCAAACAATAATCAATTGCCTAAACAGCTTATTCGTTTGCAACGTATAATAATAACAAAATGATCTAATGTATTTCTCTAATTATTTTATTTTCTTAGCTTTGCAACTTGAATCTGATGATCCTGAATATGATATGGATGAAGCTGATCATAATTGGTTTCACAATTCAGCTCGTAGTTTATGTCCAGATCTTACATATCTTGAATATGAAATCATTGTTGATAAACTTGAGAATGCCAGTACGCGAACGCTTGCTTCGTTGGATGAAGCACGAGCATTGTTTGCATCTTCAACACCTCCGATCATCAATAATTTACATATAAATACTGTTTATGAATTTTGGTATAAACGTCGAACAACACGGGTATATGTTTTTTCAAGTATAAATCTTATTCAAAAAAGAAAATATATCTTGATTGAACACATTATTTTATTTAATGTGTTTATTTTTTTAAGTTTATATCTTATTTTAGCCTTTTTTTTTTGTTCTTCTTTTATTAAAAATAATTAGGACAAACGATTGAAGCCACGTTTACTCACCGAACGTGATATCAAAGAAGAGAAAGGGAAACATCATCCATACGTTGCTTTTCGACGGCGGGTTGAAAAAATGACAACTAGAAAAGTATGGATTGATGATTTCATTCTTGCTTTTTTACTTATAGCATTTATTTTCTTATAGAATCGAAAAAATGAGGAGCAAGCCTATATGTCAATGCTCAAATTACGTTCTAGTTTCGAAACCGTCGTGTAAGTTACACTTCATTACAATCATGATTTTCATCAATGTATATTTAAAAAAAAAAACATCTTTTTAATAGCAAGCTAACGAATCTGATCAAACTGCGTGAAACAACCAAAGTGTCATGGCTCGAATGCGCACTAGCAATTTTCCAAGCACGGTACGCTGCCTGCCCACCCGTCGTCGGTGGCAACCGGAGAGTCTCGCTTAGTGAGCTCTGTGTGTTGTCTGCCTTTTTATTCTATGCTCATCCAGATGCGAATCGAAACCTGATGACGAAACAACATCTACGACACAATCATCGACTTCATCGTTGTCGACAAATCACGATCGACATCATCATGCTCGTTCCCATTTGAAAACATCTTCATTGATGAATAATAATAGTAACCTAACAGCTATTCAGCGTCAACAATTATTAACACAATTGTTACGGATTGAAAATCACAAGAGAAATCCACTGACATCATCAACATTGACTAGTCTTTTACAAACACCAGTACAGTCACGATCATTATCGAATGATTCTAATGATCTATTTCAAAGAAAGATTAAAAAATTTAAATCATCACATAAAAAATCTAATCAAGTATGTTTCATTGAAAAATGTTTTTCATTGAAAAACCTAATGAATTTTTCTCTTCATATTATTTTAGACCGATAAACTAACTCAATTGTTGTCTTCGCCAACAACACCTTTATCACCTATTGCAAATAATATCGGACGAACATCAACAAATATTTCACCGCAATCATTACTTGAACGATTGTCATCATCGAATGTTGCTTCTTCACCTTCGCAACAATTAATAAATCGACGTCGTTTAAAAAACTCCGTATCCGGAACTAATAAACAAGGAAAAGCTAATCGAAATTTACCACCTTCGAACTTATGGTCTCTGGTAGACAATACATCAGGTGGTGCTATCTTGTTTAAAAATCAACTTCTTGAAGCAGCAAGAAAAATACAACAGAAAGAAGTAAAGAAAAATCAAATGAATAAAAATGAATATATTTCTATACATAATAATATTCTTTTAGGAGCTTGAAAATAACGCAAATAATCGTCGTGTTATTTTGCAAGATGGTTCATCTGTATTTTCAAATACAAATGAAAATATTGATAATAGACTAGATGATGTAGGAACGAGTATTGATGATGACGAATCAATTGATCCTTGGCAATTTCGGCCTAAATCTGGATGTAGATATCTCCGGGTAATTATTATTTCTTGATAAAACAATCATTACTTTTTAAAAGAATCAAACATTAGTTTACTGTATTATGTAAAAGAGACGTATGGTTGACTATACGCTAGATAATCCAATAGTATAAAAATATTCATCCATTTTCTTCGACGACACTTGTTAAGAGATATTTTGTCTGGTATTAAATCTATTCTCCAATGATCGTCAACTAGTGATTTGATGAACAATTTTTATATCCTTCAAAAATGAAGTCTCTTTCAAAACTTCAATTATTTTCAAAAGTATTTTAGACGATGATAATCGTGAGAGTGTGAATTGATTGTAAGTCTTCTTTTTAATGATACATGCACTATGTGTACGTGTGGCAGTGCAACAAACAGACAGTTCGTGTGCTTCCGAAGATTAAAGTAGAAGGTATATGAAGAATGCTTACGTTAGTAGTTGTTTTGAAACTAGACATTTCAATAGGTCTACTTATCTCTATGGTTTGTTCACTTCATTTCTATTTTTGGCATAGAACAGTTTGCTTTCTAATGTATTTATTTTCGCTACTCATGGATGGCAGACTTTAAAAATTGTATTTCTGAAAGTAGCGAATTTTTTAATTGTGACATCAAATTCTGTCAATAAATACATGTGCGATAGTTGTGCATAACTATGTTTTAGTTTTCTTATGTACTATAAATAAAATATGAAAGCTCAATAGACATTATGACAATCATATTCGCATATAGTTATGTTCTTCTTTTAAATTATAATTTCATTTTAATATTTTTCTTTTATAATTATAGCCTATTGACCAAGATCAACAACAGCGTGTTCAATCTCAATGTTCCAGTTTTTCGTCGTTTTATTCACTGGCATGTTCCGAACGTGGCCATCTTGGAAACCGAAGAGTGCGAATAGGTCGAGGGGGAAGGTAAATGTTCAATTAAATAGTATGTATACTTTATTCTAAATGTTATTTTAGACTACTCTACGATCGTCATATCGAACAGGAGAATAATGATTTTTCATCTATAACTAAATCACATTTCACTGACAAGTATGTACTTACAAATTACGGTAAGTATATAGTATAAATTGAATTTTCGCGTTTTTTCTTCTAGACCCATACTATGGTATGTTTCGTCTCAACCATCACTTGCTGAATCATATCATTTACACTCACATTTAACAGTTCATGATCATACAACATCACTGGCTCATCACTATCAATTGAAATCATCATCATCACGTTCAATTGACTTGAACGATTCATTCTATCATGTAAATAATTCTAATCCACTCTTATCATTAAATGTAAATGGTAAGCATAGACCATCAGTATCAATTGAACCTGATCATCCATATTCATACTCATCACGACATATTAATCAGGCGTTACGCACATTAGTTGAACCTCAATTGTCATCACCGTTCCCATCGTTCGATTCAGCAACTTCCACTATTTCTACGCCGCAGAAGATGATCCTCGCATCGACACCACCGCCACTATCGTCATCGATGATAAATAATCAGAGAATAGACACTCCTCAACAGCCATGCTATACAAAATCATCAGCATATGTTGTCTCTCCATCGACATCATTTTATCCGTCACATCACCACTCATATACTATTCCATCGGCACCACCACCATCATCTTCAACAACGTCATCATCATGTGCTCTTGTACAATTCGTTCAACTTCATCGTATACATCCATCGACGAAGACCCATAATTTTGCATCATCATCAACACCGGTGACTACATCTGATTCTTGATGGGTGTATATATATATATCTGTCTGGTTTTCATCGTCATCATGGGTTCATATCCCTTTAATGTGTATGCGCGCATGCGCGTGTGTATATTTGTTCTTGTGTTTTCGTGCCCGCTATTTTTGGTTTGTTTGTTTGTTGTTTCATTTATTTCTTCGTGTCCTCTTTTTTTATATATGTTTGTTTGTGTGATGATTTTTTTCTTGTTGCTCGTTTAATATTGAGGGTAAAAAAAGACGCTACTCGATATTATCTCGAATAGCAAAATAGATTGATCACACACACACACACAAAAGGAAATATATCTATTAAAAAACAAATTGAACTCATTCAATGAAGCATTTCTTTGATACGATGTTCAGTATGTAATGAGTGCATCTCATTCTGCTCTTCTTTCTTTTTTTTTAATTTAAAATTTAATCAGCAATTAAAGGTCGTAACCTTGATTCAAAAAATTATTTTTCACAAGTACGCGCATTTTTGACAAGTCGTTAGTAATAGTTATTGTCATTCGGCTCATTATATGATGATATGAAATGACATGATTAATGCGTGGGTATTCATAACGAGAAGATCATCGAAGGCAAATCAGCAGATTTCTCTGACTATAGTTAATTGGTGAACTATTTTTGTCGTGTAAACTTTAAGAATACGCTTCATACTTTTGTAAAATATTTCGATGAGAATATGATGAAACGGAGTTATTTTATCTAATAAATCAGATAATATACAGGAGCTTAGAATACTCAAGCTGATTCGAATTCAATACCCACCAGTTCTATTGTATAACGAGATAGCTTATAAATGAAATGACATGATCTTTATTTAATAGAACTACATGTTATTCTTGAAATCATAAAACTGCTCATTCATTTAAAGTAATCAAAAACGAATTGAGCACGGTTTCCATTCTATTTATTCAAATAGTTCCTATGATAAATAATCTGAACAGAAAATGACGAGTCATTATGAACTTCTAATGTTTCGGTCGATATTTATTCAAAGAATCTTTTTTTTCCTAGGAGACATTTAGCAAAAGAGCCGAACCTTCATTTGAATTACGTAACAACAGCTAGTAATCATACTATGAAGCATGTCGAGTGATATGTAAATAAAACATTGTCACTAACATGCAAGTTAGTCATCGATGAAAGAAATCTTCTCTTATCTTCTCGTTTGTCTTCGATAGAAATATATTTGTACAGTATGAAACAAGGATGAACATTTTCGCACGTACACTTTTCAACAAGGTCAACCAGTAACAACATAATAAATGAAATGAAAGATGATACGAAAAAAAGAATTTGATTGTCACGAAAAGATTTTAAAAGGTCTTAGAGAAAGAAAAAAAATCATTAAACCTTGTGTTTGTATCTGTCAAGATGGAAAATTTTAATGTTCAATATTTTTGATCCATTGATATTGTTTCATTTTGTCTACAGAAGACTTTAGTTCGATACGCTCGTTAGGCTTTTCTTTTTCTTCTTTTAGTAACTATAATATATGGTAAAACATTTAAATAAGAAATGAAATAATATCATATGTATAAGATGTACGCGAAGAAAGAACAACAACATTTTAAGAAACATATGAAAAAGAAGTGATCGATGTATTCTCTGTTTCTTGTTGTTGGCCAAAATGATAAAGTTTTTGTTGAGATGGATTTTTATGAACACTATCATGTGAATATCTTACGAACTGTTCATATTGTTCGTTGAGTTTTGTTGCTAATAATTGTTCATACTGTTCACGTACTAATTTATCTTGTTCGCGTAATAAACGAGCACACATTTGAGCAGTTTGAGTGTAGGTAAACATTGGAGTATCATCTGTTGACGACGTTAAAGCAGTAAGTGAACATGATTTTAATGATGATTTTTTATTCGATATTGATTTCGTAAATATAGATTGTTGTTTTGATGGAGATGAGGAAGTATTGTTTACTGTAAATGTTGTTGGCGATAGTTTTATTTCGGCTCGTTTACGTTTCACTCCTTGTTCAACTGGATCGAATTCGAGTGAACGTTTCAGTGATGCAACTGCTAACATATTGAGTAATTAATTGACAATCGAAATCGAAAGAAAACAAAAATTTCAAAACGCCAGTAGGAAAAAATAATTATGGGTATGATATATTTCTTGCTTCGAAAGAGAAGCGAGAGGAGGGTTTATATATACACAGAAAACACAGCCATGTCTTTTGTATCATCACTATAAGCCAATGAGAATTAAAAGTTTACTAGAGAATAAATTTTATTGATATAATAGTGATCCAACGGTGTGATATTTGAGAAAAATCGGATAAAAAATATTTCTCTAATATGTTTATTTTATTGTCATGAAAAACAAGAGGGCGCTTATGATTTCAAGATTTTCATTGGTTAGAACTAAGGATGAATCTAATTGGAAGAAAGACTTGTTGCAGAATGATATTTCACTATAGAAATAGCTCTTCGAATTTCGGAGCCTATAGAGCATAGATTTCTCGCGAGATCATTGTTCACTATCAGTCCAATTGCATATAGTGTTTACAACGCACATGTGTACGAAAGTTGTATACTGTGTAGAGCTATGCGGAGGTAGACACTCGCGATGATCGCTTCTTCTCTCCAAAAACGTTCTCCTAGAAGCGAATTCTTTTAGACTAGAATTTCTCTTTCTGATTACTTGTACTCTATTATCTTTTATTAGTATTGTAATAGTTGCTAATTTGTGACATTTCAGATTTTAACTCAATGGAGAATACAACTAGAGATGATCCGTTTCTTTCACATTTTGAAACATTGGCCGATGAATCCCAAATCAATAATAAATCATCGAAAAAAAAGCTTGATCTATTTTCATCATCATTTGGCTCCTGTCAATTCTCATCAACTTCATCAGATAATCAATCACCTATACTTCCATGTCCGGTGTCTACGACAATTGATTCGTTTGCAATAAAAAAATCTCTTTTGTCAAATATCGAAGCATCAGGTAGTCAATTAACACAATTACAAATGGATTTTTTTTCATTAATTCATAATTATTACGATGTTTACTATCCGAATCGAACGAATGTGAATGATAATGGTGAACAATTACGATTTGTTATTTGTCTGCATTTAATAAATCATGTGTTAAAAACTCGTGCGCGTATATTATCGCATAATGCAAAACTAAAAGAAAATCCTGATCTTGATTATCACGATCAAGGTTTTACAAGACCGAAAGTTCTTATTATTGTACCATTTCGTGAAAGTGTTCGACGTATTATCAATTGTTTTGAAAATCTTTTATTAACTATAGATGACAGTGAAACAACTGATCAATTACAAATGACTCATCGAAAACGATTTAAAGAAGAATATGGTGGAGGAGAAATAGATAATGAAAATCATTATGGAAAATTTCAACGAACATCGAATGAATATGATGAAATATTTGCTGGAAATATTGATGATCATTTTCGATTAGGTAATTATTGATTTTCTTTCTTTTTTTTATTGAGATATGAGTGCTTGACGAATAATATCATTTTAAAATTGTTTCGACTCTCATCTACGCTTATGAGATTCCTTATCTTAATTTATGCATAGAATTCTACGTATATATAAAGAAAGAGCCTCTGTGAGACTTAAGTCTAAACTTATTTTATCATAGACAGTAGTATCAACAGCGATTTATTTGTCAAAGCAAAAGACTTTTCCGTTTCTAAAAAATTTTTTTTTCTGTAAAATTTTATAGGCTCAAATTTCGATTCCTCTTGAAACAATGCATGTTACTGTGTAATAAGTAGCATTTTGTCTTCTTAGCATTACAGTTACTATCTACTTATTTCAACATGTACTAAGTTATGAAAACTAGTTTTTATAATCTCTTGTGTAACTCACTGCTAATTTAATTAGCCAACCTTTCAAAATTTTGATGTTCATAAAGCAAATGCATTCTACTTGATAAACTGTAAAAGTATTGTTGACCTATCTATCTGATGCAATACTAGAAGTTTCTAATTGTAAAATGAAAGTCTTTTTTTTTGTCTGATTATAATTATTCTCTTTTAACTTTTAAGGTATATCTATTACAAAAAAGTCATTGAAATTCTTTCAATCAGTCTATAAATCTGATTTTCTCATTGTGTCACCAGTTGGTCTTCGAACACTACTAGAAAAACGTCGTGGTAAACGTAAACGTAATCAATCATCAGACAATTCTGATTCTGATAGTGATGACGGTACTAACAATGATAATGGTTCATCTTCGATTGCTGACTTTCTCTCATCAATTGAAAGTGTTTATATTGATCAATTAGATGTATTATCAATGCAAAATCTTGATCATCTATTTTATATATTGGAAAATCTTAATTGTATTCCTGAACAAGCAACATCATCAACAGATTTTTCTCGTATTCGTCATTGGTCGTTAAATGGCTGGGCGCGTTACTATCGTCAATTAATAGTTCTAACATCGTTCACAAGTCCATTATTTCTCAGTTTATTTCATCGTTTTTCAACAAACTATGCTGGACAATGTTTAATTCAGCCAACATTTCCATTAAACGGTTTTATACGTCCATTATCAACATTCAATCAATTATTTCAGCGTATACCTGTATGTGATCCAACATTAAGATTTAATTATTTTATTGAACATATTCTACCACGTTTTGATACTTCAACATATGATCATACATTAATTTATTTATCATCGTATTTTGATTTTGTACGTTTAAAAAATTATATGCGTACAGAAAAACATAAACAATTTAATTATTTAACATTAAGTGAATATTCAACGAAAAAACAAATTCTATTGGCAAGAAATATATTCTATCATCGTGAAGTACGGTTTTTATTAATGACAGAACGTTTTCATTTCTATCATCGTTATCGTATCAAAGGTATACGTCATATATTATTTTATGATTTACCATCATATGGACATTTCTATCCGGAAATAGCACAATTTTTAACATTACCACATGTTGTTGATAAGAAAAAAACAATACCCACAGCTCAAATTGATGAACCAAGTACATGTACGGCACTATATGCTAAAGAAGATGCATTAAAATTAGCTTATATACTTGGGCAAACTTCTGTGACTGATTTGTTAAATTCAGAAAAAAATACACATTTGTTTACGAATAAATAAAGAAATGGAATCAGATGGGAAACTGTCTGGGTACAATAAATAATATCTATTTAGTTTAATAAAAGAAAATAATAGACGAAATGAAATAGGGCGTGGGCGTGGATGATACTTCTGGAAAAAAAAACAATTCATGTTTCATATTCAAACAAGCAGATGAGTATATACATCTAAGTCTTTTGATATATTATTAGTAGAAATGAATTAGAAACTATTAATTTTACTTATTAAATAACGCCATCTATCAATTACGAGGTTTTTCATAGAATAAATATTGAAAAAGAGTTTGTTTTCGTATCATTCGTTATCTTTCTCCACCTAGTTTTGTTTTCTTCTAAACTACTATTATCTAACGCCGAACTATCGAAAACAATTTTCTAGTTCCTCATCAAAAAGTTGACCTTACACATTTGATCCTTAACATTAGAGAATTCTCTGAAGTCATAAAGATTTCTTGCATCGAAAATTACATTTTTATTTTACATTAGAATTCGAGATGATACCATCTCACAGTATCTTCCCTGATTCAAAACATAACGAACCTTTGCTGATATCTCCTTTAAATTCACCATCAACTCCTAATGTTTCACCAAGAGTTTTTACTACTACACTACAAGCAGATTCAACTTCACTTAGTCCGCTGGATTTCTTTAATTCAAATACATTCTACTCTATGAACCAAGCCACATCGAATCATAGTGCATTGACATCAGCGAAACAAGATGAAATCAAGCAGGATTTAATTGATTGGACTATTGAGGAGAAAATATCTATGCTTGATATTTTCGATCCGTTAAAGCAAACTAAGCAATCAACTTTACTGCCATGCGAATCAGACGAAATCATTTCAAAGACATCTAGCGTTGCAACATCGAATATCGACACTTTAGTAGCACCCGTAACATCTGCCATTTCTATTGCACAACCATATCCGATTAAACTAAAGTTAAAATTAGCTACATGTTTGGAATTAAAACCCTTTAGTCGAATCGTTCAGCAGCTACTCAGCCAACCTCAAGCACAACAGGTAACAGAGAAAGAAAGAAAGAGTTCTCCCAAGATTTATTTGCCTATGCTGTTCGTTCTTTTGTAAGGATCCTAAAATTTATCAAACGAAAGCATCGAGATCAGCAGATATATCACGAAGATTAGATCAGCTGAAAAATCGAAAGAAATGAACAATACTCAGATAATTGTAGCATAATTGATGAGAAATATTTTAGGCGAAAATTGAAATTCAAGCAATTAACATCTTAATGATGTAAAAACGCTTTACTATATAAATGTATCTCGAATCACATTCTATTTTTGTTGCGGCAAAATCTAGAAAATTTCTAACATTATCTTAATTTCTTATGCGTGAGTCACAGAGAATGGATCCTCCTCCTTCAATTGCAGTGTTCTACCTTGATACACGTATCTATAAACGAACTATTTTTCTTAGCCTCCAATATTTTTTTATGAAGTTTGGCGAATTTTCTTGTTTCGAAAAATAAACTATCGTGAATAGTCATATCTTTAACCGTTTAACGAAAGCATTTTTCGGCCGATTGATTTCGTCAAAAGAATAATGAAATTATTACTCATTATAAAAGCTTAATTTTTTAAAACCTTAGGCGCCATCAGATGGAACTTTTTATTGTAAACATGTTGAACGGTTAACGTCTCAACACATTAAACAAAGTCAATCGCCTGTTACATTATACATACTTACTAATAGTTTAAAAGAACCAATATGTTTAACGGAAATAAGTTTACAATCAACAGTAGCACAAATTTTAAGAAAACTGCTTGAAATATTTCAATTTGACTACGATCAATCAATACTTAAATTACGTTCCTGTGACGAATATTTACGTCATGATGATGTTTTATGCAATATTGAATATGTTTATAATTGTATTTATTCAATAAAACAAATACAATTCGTTTTAGTTAAAAAACCAAGTTCTCCATTACGAAAGAAACAAGCTCATATTAGTTTTGAAGAATTTTGTTTAAATGACCGAGAAAAATATTTTCAGACAAAACAAACAAGGTGTATTTATTTCGTTTTGTTTTTGCTTAAAATATTTAATAAAATTTACATTTGACTTTTTATTTATAGACTTTTGCAATCAACAAAAACCTCGAATAAAAGTAAACAATTAATATCGCTTGATGTAACTTGTTCATCTCCGTTATCAAATCCTCACTGGAGAGAAGACTTTCGTGAAAATATTGATCGAAAACTTAGACAAATTGAACAATGTTTTAATCGTTTAGTTAATCCAGATTCATCGAAATTATTGATAGACGAACAAATAGAATTGATTGAAGAATTAATAAGTTGTAGTAAAACGATTCAAAGCATATGTTTAGATATAAAATCAACATCACTTTTCGAGAGACAACTTATGTTAAAATTTTATGCTGCTCAACTAAAAAACCAATCCGAAAATCAGAATGAACAAGTATCAACTTCAAAAATACCTCAAAATTTAACACGATTGCTCTATGATTTACTTCTTTCAATTATGAAATATGTTCAAACATATTGTCAAGCATTTTTAATACCTTATGAAGTAGAAATTTATGATGATGAAAATAAATCAATTGATATACAAACATTGAAAACGCTGGTAAAAATTAATAGATATTTCCTTCAGAGCTCATAGTAGTGTTCATCCTTGACGAAAAAAAGATCAGTTTAATACAGAATTTTTCTATCCAATCGTTTGAACTACCCTATAGACTTCTTTTAAAGAGCGATTTTTTTAAAATCTGCACCAATCGATAGTTTAGTAAGAAAATTGTCATTGATGAGATCTCCTCATGTTTGTATGATTTTTTACCTAGTCAACAACAACAACAACTACTGATCCGCGTCCAATAATTGAATCATTAGAACTCTGTAATATTCTTATCGGCAGTCTTTCTTATGTACCATCAAACATCAAAACAGTTCGTATTGTCGTTCGTCTTTGTTATGGTAATCAAACAAAAGCAAAACAAATGACAAGTTTAATGCCATTTGTACGTAATATTTATCCAGAAAGTTCTTTACAAGTTGATTTCAATGAACAACTTATATTTAATGATATACATCTATGTGAATTACAACGTGAAGCATTGCTTCTGTTTGAAATCTATGCTAGTTTCGTTGATGAAGCTGATCCATCAGTAGCTTCATTAGTTAGTGAAGTATTCGATGGAGTTTCGATGTGTCTTGTCGGTTGGTGTTCACAAGCATTATTTGATCATGAACACACCCTTATCAGTGGTGAACATTATTTAGGTATCATCGATGCTGCAACAACGGCACGAACAGGTTTTTATTCATTAAGAAATATTTTGGATCGTAATTGTCCAATACTAACGATCTCATTACCGAATCAATCATTTTATTTGCCAAAAATTCAAGCTAGAAAAGATATGTTTGCTAAGAAGGAGCTCAGTGATATTAGTCTAGATAATCGAAAATATTTAAATCAATTAATTAATCGACAAAATTTATTATTGACTGATCATAGTGTAATGATAACAAATGAAACTTCTATGAATAATCGGAAACAACAATTATCACCAAATATGTTAGATAACGGTATGTTGAATAAAACATGAAATTTAACCTCAAATGATTGTATCTCGGGAGAGGGCCCCATATTTGCGATAGTTGATTTGGAATAGTTAAAAATATTCGAAAGGATAAATTGAATCAAGAAATTTTTTTAAGGCAAGCTATTCATCACCTACCAATAGACTTAGATCTTAACATTAGTTGTAGTTTTCATATTGCATACGATAATTTTAGATTCTGAACTGTCTGATGAATATCATTTTCTATGGTCTCATCGTCATTATCTGCTTGATAAACCTCGTTCATTAGCAAAATTACTCAAATCTCGTTTACTATGGGATTATCCAAGTTTAATTGATATCTATGGTTTTATCAATGAAACAGATCAGCGTCGTAATTTAGATGAAATTGAATTATTTGAACTTCTTCTACCTGCTTTTCCAGATATGCATATACGTTCGTTTGCTTATCAATCATTAATATCACGTTTAAAACCTGATGAACTTATCTTTTATCTACCACAAATTTTACAAATAATTAAATTTGATTATAATTATTCATCGACAATGCTTAAATATTTACTTGAACGATCTATGAATGATTATCGTATAGCGCATAAATTGTATTGGCATTTAAGACAATTACTTTTAACAGAAACTATCCATTTTATACGTTATTATTATTTATATATGGCATTAGTGTATATTATCGAAGATTATTTTCGTACTGAACTAGAAACTCAATCTGATTTATGTATTAATTTAAGAAAAATAAGATCAGAATTAAAATCTAGTGAATTAAATAGAGAAGATTATCTGAGTGAACAATTGAAAAATTTAAATAATGAATTTTTTCAATCCAATCAACGTTCATGCCGTTTACCATGCCAATTTAGTTTCATAACAAATAGCATTGATATTAAATCTTGTTCTATATTTAGATCATTAACATGTCCTCTTCAACTTGTTTTTGATCCAATTGATTTATCATCTGAAACATTCTATGCAATTTATAAAACTGGAGACGATTTACGTGTAAGTTTGTTTTTACTTAGAACTTATTTATAATAATATTCTGTTGTTGTTGTTTTTGTAGCAAGATCAAATCGTTTTACAATTATTAACTTGTATGGATAAAATATGGCAATCGAATGATATAGATTGCCGTTTGAGTTTATTTAATGTTACACCAACAGAAGAACGTTGTGGTTTCATTGAAATGATTACCGACAGTGAAACATTACTGAAAATAGAAAAACCTCTAGGAGCATGGAAAGGTTCATTTGGTGTATCAGCGTTATATAATTGGTTACGTTTACATAATACAAATGAAAAAGATTTTCTTATGGCTGTAGATAATTTAACATATTCATGTGCTGGTTATTGTGTAGCAACTTATCTATTAGGTATTGGAGATCGACATAATGAAAATATAATGGTGAAAAAATCAGGACATTTATTTCATATTGATTTTGGAAAATGTCTAGGTGATAAACAAAAATTTGGTTGGTTTAATCGGTAAGTCAGAACTTGAAAACATTCCAACAATGTTGATTGCGAGGGTTTTTTAATCTAGACAACTTTTCCTTAAAGAAATATCATCTAACTTAGATATTCTGTAATTGATATTATACAAAACTATACTATTGATTTCTAGTGATCGTGCTCCATTTATATTTACAACTCAAATGTTATATGCAATGTCTAATGGTGGTACATCTAATTTTGCAATGCATCGTTTTGTTGATTTATGTTGTGATGCATTTTGTATATTACGACAAAATTCTTCTCTAATTTTAATGCTTCTTTCACATTTATGTTCATCAAATGTACCTCGTCTCAATTATGATGCTGTTCGATTTGTTTATGATCGTTTAACACCATCATTGAATTATGCTGAAAGTACAAAACATTTTACTGATCTTATTGTTGGTAGTCTAGATTCGACATGGACCAAATGGAATGGTCTCATACATAAACTTGCAAATGGTTCGGGCAGTTTAATGCCAAGTGATACACTACTATCGTTTGTACCACAGACATTTACCATAGCTACCGACGGAAAAATTCTATTCGCACAAGTTATTGACTATGAAAAAGAAATATCGAGATCAAAACCTTGTTTATATAAAATAAGAGTGGTTCGAGAAAATACAATGTATCATTATCGTACGTATAAAGAATTTTTTGAATTTTACGAAGGTTTAATTAAACAATTTCCAATGGCTGATCTGGATTTGAAATCCTCCAACGAAACAGAGGATAGTGTTATTATTCAAAAACGTGTCAAACACATAAATGATTTTCTTGGAGCATTATTTCGTCTGGCAAGTAACATTACTGAGGTAAATCAGTTAAAATTTTGATAACATCATTTTAAGGTACTATCCTGAAGACTCATGAGTTAGGCATATGTTGAAAGAAGTTCGTGTTCATGATTTACTGCTATTGAGATATCCCAATTCAATTTCATCTTATTTGTACAATAGGCGGAGAACGTTTTCTAAGATGACTGATCATCTAGCGGAGTGCAAAATATTCGATCGTGCGATTGAATTTTCATCAGAAGACTTCTTTAGAAATATATTTTTTTAATTGTTATAGTCTGATCTTGTTTGCACATTTTTTCATACAATTCAACGAGATCAACAAATCAATGATGCAAGAGAAAAAGTTAACGATGGTAAATAACATCTTAAGAATGAAAACATTTCTGTTTCAGTCGACTATTTTTTTTAAAGAACTTTCACCTCTTTCTCTAAATATCCCACCAACGAATAATCAATCAACAGTTCGTTTACAATTACTATATGATACTGGAAAACTTTTTGTAATGGTTCGTTATGCTAATAATTTGGTAAATAAATTTTCTAGATTCTTATTCATGACTAATTTTTATTTCGATTTAGCCATTAAAGAATGGCAACCAACCAACACCATATAGTAAATGTTATCTTCTTCCTGATGAATCGAAATTAACAAAACAAAAAGGTAAACCTTCTAATTCACGAAATCCAATATTTAACGATACGGTATGAATTATTTTCTGTTCGATAAATAAATTTCGTTTCTGTTACTTGACTTTCAGTTTACATATGAAATGGATTTAAGTGAAATTCAAAAGTATGCATAAATGAGTTAAGCGTAGAAAAAAAATGGTTTTGCATTATTTCTATTTCTATTTAGACGTATTCTACGTGTAGGCGTTTGGAATCATATTTTAAATGTTGGTAATCATGTTTTGGGTACTGTTGATATTCTACTATCTGAGATAGATTGGTCAAAAAAACACGTATCCGATTATACAATTAGTACTTCTGACACATGAGCTTCTTTTTTTTTGTTTTTCGCTCAAAAATACAGCCGATAAATAAAATAATAACAAATGTGTCATAATGAAAAGTACCAATAGTAAATGTAGTTTTTTCACTGCTTAATATTTACTTATGTCGCTATCAAAGTGTAAAATCTATATTTCATTTGTGCCTCAGTTTTGAATGCTTATCACTTAAAAATATCTGACCTAAGAAAAGATTCTAAAAAGACTCGAATAACGAACAATCAACGGCTATTTTTTTATATGTGCAGCATCAACCATTGTGTGATGAGCAGAATGTCTACTTCAGTGATTTTCAAGTGGAATGAATAAAATGAGTGTCAGATCAATGTGACCTTTTTTCCACTCAAATGTATGCTTTGAAGTAAGTCAGAATATTCTATCAGATTTCTAATTTGTATTTAGAGTCTAATCCCAGTGTAGAGATTATCTTGAATTGTACAATAGGCACAAGTTTGATCTATGCTTGCTTGTTGTTGTTGTTGTTGTTTTCTCAAACAAAAAGTTCACATATTATTTGAAGTTGATTGATTGACATGAGTATACTTTGGTAACGTTGCGCGTGTGTAGTCTGACTTTTAATCTATAAATGTATGCATAAGTGTCATATAGCGTATACATACTTTTTAATGCTAATATTCAATCAAAAAAAAAAACGAAAGAGAGAGAGAGAGAGAGAATTTTGCGGTGCGATAATGATCGCATCAAATAACTTATTTGATTCTGTATAATTTTGTGATTAGGTAGACAAAGGCAACCAATTTATTATTATTATTCTTTTTTTGTATGCACATTATGATTATCAATTAGATGACATCGTTTTTATTTATAATACGCGTGTCATCTTTCTGTCTTTATTATAATGAAAAAATTCAGCAGGTAGCTGGGAAATAAAGAAGGTAACCAGATGCGCAACGGATGAAATAACATAATTGGCAAATGATTATATGTTATTGGAAACATCCTAGATGATCATTAGCGCATCACTACTTTTATTGAGTTTTAAAAAAAAGATTGCTTTTTCTCTTGCCATCGTTGTACCATAAACTAATTTTATACACACGTTTATGCTCATTTTTCTATGATGAAAATTAATCAAATTCATTGCTCCTCAAAGAAAAAAAAACTTTTCCGTTTTTTTTTCTTTTATTAACAGACTAGAAAGAACACAAAAGAAAAAAGAAAGAAGTATTGTTAATTTTTTAGAATTAATGATGCAAATATGTTGAATTGTTCGATGGCAATGAATTATTTGTTACTGCTGACGATGATGATGATGATGTTGTTGCAAATAAACCATGAGAGTATACAGAACCAGCAGCAAAATATGCAGCTTGATTAAGTAATGATGTTTGAAGATCTTGACTAATAATTAAAAAGAAAACAATTGACATTTTCATATTTATTTTATCAAGTGAAAAGTGGTTAGGTTGTAAATGTGCCATGACTATTAGATATATAAGACGGATAATGTTCGGCACAAGTGGCAATTGTTTTTTCTCTTCCCTCATTGAAAAGGGCATAACTTACGTTCGTGGTGTACGATCTCTTTGTCGTCGATTTTTAAACCAATTACTAACTTGTGTTAATGTTAAACCAGTTTTTTTTGCTAATAAACGTTTTTCATTTGGTGTTGGATAACGATTTTGTCGATAACATTCTTTTAATGCTTGCCGAGATTTTTCTTTAAAACAATAAATTGTTTCTTCACCATCCCAAATCGATTTTGGTAAAGGATATTTTCGTCTTATACGATATTTATCAACAGCACCTAATGAACGACCACGAATTTTTTGTGCTTCCATATAATGAGCTTTATACCATAGTTGTTGTAATTCAGAATGATGCTGACCATCAAATGAATGTGTTTCTAATAGACAATATAATTCACGAAATTTCGATTGATGATAAAAAATAATTGCACGTGCTTTCAATATACTATCATGCTGATGTATTAAAACAGCATCGGGTGAAGAAGATTTTAATGGTAGTAATTGTAAAAGTTTCATTAATTTATCAATTTTACCACTTTGTTGAATAGCTTCACATACACAAGCTAAGTGATCGATTGTTAACGTTATTGTTTGTTCGACATTATTATTGTTTGGTAACTTCAGAATAATTGGATTTTGTATTAGTGAATTATTGTTTGCCATTGGTGATGGTGGCAGAATTGAATTTGATGAATCATCATTTTCAATTTTAGTTGAAATATTTGATTGAGATACATAATGATTTGGATAATAGGATGAATAGACATTGGATGATGTTGTACCAAAATGATGATGATGATGATGATAATCGTATGCTGAATGTTGATAAGAAGAGTTTGTTGTGTTCGATTTCATCATACTTAGAAGAAGAAGAAGAAGAAAAAAAAATAATAATGGAGATGATGATATATAGACACAAATTCTCGCCTTTCACGTACTCGAGTAATATGATCAAATGTGAATTGTATATTTTCTCTCGTTCGATAATAAAAAGAAACAGGAAAAAAAGAGTGGATGATTGGTTAAAAAAACTGATTGGTCGAATAGGAGAATAAAAAAAGTAGTCTTGTTCTTCGTTTTTTTTCACTATGATGGCTGATTAAGTATGTTCTCAAACGAGATGAAAGAGAACCTGTAATTTTCCACTTGGAATAGACTATTTAGTAGTTAAAACAAAAAAATTTCAAAGTTGTAGGAAAATTGAAGTACGCATACGGCATATATTGAATGATTAGAAGATGATAAGTTTAGAGTAGTCTTGATTGACTACATTTTCTCTAATATAAAAATAAAGTTCATGTGAATGATTTTCAATCTAATTTTGTTCATAATTCGATATACGTTTCATTTGTTTCGAATTTTGCTGTTTTGCAGCTATTGTTGAATCCTTTTAATGCAACAGAAATATGTGAAAATGTTTTTTTTTAATTTGAGCATGTTTGAAATGCAGCTCTGTGAATGTAAATAGTCTATATGGAATCTTAAATCGAATTGAAACACTTCGTTGCAAAATACAAATAAAGGAGTGTGTTTTTCTTATATGATATTCTCCGTTGTGCTTATGCGCATAATAAAACAAGTGATTGTTATAATTTACGTAGAAAATTGCAGTTTCATAGAGGCAATATTTTGTGACAAAAACAAGTGCGTTGTTTATTGTTGTAGTCTTTTTACAGGTTCTATTTTGATGTTGCGATTTACGCAGTTGTCGATAGACAACGTAAACAATCCTGAAAAATTGTACAACACCGAGCTACTTTTATTTGTTCTTCTCAAGCGCACTTTGTACTATACTCGTCTGTAAAAGAAGAATGTGAAAAGAGAGAGAATTTGTCAATATCTACACGAATAAAACTGATATGTATGTCAACAACATTCTCATTCTTCTGTTTGTTGGAAAGATAACCATATAGAGAATTTATCTCTGGAAATAGAAAGGTAAGAGAGCAGCATGAAAGCATTTCTTTTTGCACAGCACACAACAAGCTAGTTGTGTATTCAAAACAAAAATAGATTGTTTTCTTGCCGCGACCTTACTTACTGTTCTCATCTATCTAACTACCAATTAAGTTAACGTTTGAGACTATAAAGAACGCGTTTCCTAAAACAGTGCCCAAAAAAAAACGTTGAATCTTTTATCTCAATCGAATAAAAACGAAGTTAAATGCTACTTCTTAAAACTGAAGCAACTAACTATCAATCAGTTCTAGCTCGATGGCAAGGCGGAATTAACCTGTTTAAGAGCTACCACTCATTCTAAGACTATCTAGGAGACTGTCTAACTGGTGTACTGCGGTCAAACTTCGAAAGCCGTGCGAGACTGACTCTTTATGTCTCGGTATTCCTTAGCATATGGCTAAAATTCCCTCAGATTACTCCAGACAAGCTTTCGCTCCTTTTCATGGAAGTGACACTGACGCTGAGTCTTTTTCTAAGTAAATCTACCAAGACTCCGTATGAGTGTCAACCGTCATCGAATTGATGTTTGCTGTGATACTTTAAGAAATGTTTTGTATTTTTTGCGTTTGGTCTTGTGAAAGTTTAGCATCTATATAACTCTATCTCCTCTCTGCTCTGTTTGTATCCATCGACAGTTATCCGAGACCCGTCTGACATGAACTATGTGAGATGTAATGGCATGAGCGTCGTAAAAAGTTCTCTAGTGTATCTCATCTCATTCACACATATGCGCTCCCTGAATGACGACTTCGGAACATCAAGTACCGACATCCCCTCCCTGATTCTCAAGAATCAGGTGTTTTCCATCTAAATATATCCCGAACTAAGAAGGATGTCGATCTAAGAATGGAATAGAAGATTCATTACAACAATTGAATTCACACTATCAGTTCTCAGTTGCATGGTTCTAACCCGATAATCTGACGTAATCTACTTTGTCTTATTCCTTGAAGAATTGATTCAAATTTTCGCTTTAGTCTAATTGAATTTGTGAAATATGACAACGAAAACGGGCGATTCACCAAAATGTATCAATCACTTCTCGGATATAACCGGAGAGCCTCGCAAAATGCTGTTACCCATTGAAGGATACCAGAATATGGCACTTGTCTCACTTGATGAAGCCGTAAAAACCTCTTCTCACTCTCTTACCAAGCATTGAGAACAAGGTATGGATAGTTGAACGTAACTGCGAAATACCTACCGATAGACTTTTCTCTGACGAGTCAGCATCAATTTATCTCTATTCGATGAAATGGGAGCCGCAGGAACAGTGTCCTTTTTTTGTTCTGAATTCTACTTTGCGTGTCAAAAATCGCCAAAGACTAAAACCATGGTTTTCCTACCTGAAGCTGATGCTAACAGCACTTGGATGTCTCCCATCAATTCGTCTGACCGTTTACCGTGGAGTTAAGCTCCATCTAGTCGATGAGTATCCAGTGGGACAAACATTTGTCTGGTGGTGCTTCTCGCCATGTACATCATCAGTCACAACTCTACAATCAGAACAATTTCTTGGCAAAACTGACACAAGAATAATGTTTATTATCGATTGTTGTAGTGGAAACGATATTCGACGACATTCTTATTTTGAAACAGAAAATGAAGTTCTTCTTCCTGCCGCGAGACAATTCAAAATTGTGGGTTATCTTGATTCAGGTAACGATCTTCATATCATTCAACTTCAAGAAACTGAAGCACTATTTCATCTTATCGAGTTGGTACCTAAAATGAGCACAACAGCCATTTCCCATAGCAATCAACCAGAGATTCTCACGAAGTCTACACAGTAGCTACAATAGGCTAGTTCAACGACTGTTAAAGCATTCGAAATCACCATGAGCGAGTAATTTGAAATTGATCATCATACGATTCAATAAAACAAGATCTCTTCTATTCTTTTTAGTATAACTATCAAACAGCAAAAGCAATCTTCTAAGCAAGATTAGGAAACTATTTTCATTAATCCCTAGTATTTCATCGATTAAAGATCGTATTTTCATTCAAATGTTCAATGCGTTTTTCAGTAGATATTCCAAGTGAACAGCATGATTTGTATCATAAGAGTTCTTTTGAAAAAATATTGCATAAATGAATTTGTATATTAGCTACTTTTTCTTTTTCTATAGGACGATGACCATTGAAAATTATCTTGAAGCATCAAAAATGTATATTCATGAGCTAATGAAGATTTTTAGTTTGATCAGTAGGGAAAACGCAAAATTTTCCCCTTATAATCGAGACATGGATATTTCGAAGTGCACCTGAGTCATCAATCCAAAAATGAAAAGTCATTACTAATATTATAGAAAATAGTTTCATATTGCTCATGCATATTCATCAGTAACTTCACTGCGACTTGGAATGAGAAGACTAACTTAACAAGGTGACATCCAATCAATTGGAAGAAATTCTTTTCAAATACTAGTTTTAAAAAAAGATAAAAAATGGTAGTGGCTATGTGTACTCGAGTGTACATAACCCTATGACTATATGCACTCGAGTATACATAGCCCTATGACTATATGCACTCGACTAGGAATAAGCAATTAATTCATAAATCTTAAGTTATATTAATGTGTTGTTTATACTTCATGGACAATATCAGAGANCTAATAATTGAAAATATTTCTCTGATATTGTCCATGAAGTATAAACAACACATTAATATAACTTAAGATTTATGAATTAATTGCTTATTCCTAGTCGAGTGCATATAGTCATAGGGCTATGTACACTCGAGTACACATAGCCACTACCACATCATATACTGGATGTATAGGTGCTGTTGCTCGCACAGTATAGTTAATCATACCAAATCGTGTATCAAACGATAGAACTCGCTGAGCTGCATCGATTGACATATGTATCATCATTGGCACTCCCAACAAAGCAAATTACTCACGAAAATAATAATTTTTTTATGTAGATTAGTTAATATTTGAGGGCTGGCGTTGGTATAGTAATGCTAATCATATCAAGCCATATACCAATCGTCGATAGAACTCACAAAGTTGCATCGAGTGAGATATAAATTGTGATTGGCACACATACTCAAGCGAATCCCCACGGAAAAGAAAAATTGGTTCAATTGTGCAATAGCAGCATAATTCTGGTTACATAACTCATTTATTATAAGCTATCATATGAAATTATACATCAATCTGTAGGTCTTATTAAGTGGCATCAACTGTAAGTGCGTGTGTGAGTGGCACGTGTTTTGGATCAAATCTGTAAAAGATAATGTTTGCGATAAATGTAGCATGACTGAATTTAGGAATGTTGTTGCTCTTTTAGTACTGTTCTGTATATCAAAGGACACATCAATCGATTGAGCTCGTCAATCTGAGTCGACTCAATTGATTTTTGGCGTTGGCACACGTTATTGGGCGAATCGGTAGATGAAATATCACAAAATTCCCGAATTCAACAGGGGTGTTGAATATTTAAGGCTCATGGGTTTTAAAGATGGTAGGTTTGAATACTGTAATAGATAGAACTCATCGAGCTGCATCGAATGGCATAAGTTTCAAAAGTGGCACGCGCGACGAATCGAATATATTCAGGAAATATAAAAAGTGTACATTTTGTCCCATGGTGGTGAATCATATTTTGATAGATGCTTTTTCAGCTTTCATGCTATCGTAATTTTTGAACATAGCATTAGATAGAGCTCATCGAGTTCTATCTGGCACGCTACGTTCAAGAAGTGGCACGATTGATGGGACGAATCGTTTCAGGGAAAGCTCGAATCTGTCGCTGACTTCCCTTACATGAAAAAAAATTTATTTTTTCTTTTGTTTCAAGATTGGAACTATAATTTAAAAGAATAGCATTAAGTTTTATCAATTTACTTAATATACCATATTGATTTTTTTCATCGATTTCTAAAAGTTCACTTTTAATGTGCTGTACAATTGACCCACTTTTGTCTAAGACACTTCTTTTATATGAAGTAATCGTTTTTTTAATACTTACAATTTGATAAAACCAAAGCTACATTTATGAAAAAATTTGACTATTGTTCCTTTATGTATCTTCGATGTTTCATTTGTATTCGTTGCTACAGCTTCGTTACTTTCGATCTAAATAATGAAGAAAATGTTTTTAATTTTCAAAGCCTAATATCATTTTAAATATATCTGTGACGTATTTGAATATTATTCGTTGATTTAGCAATTTTCTATTATGTTTTAATGTCAAGATATGTTTATCGATAATAGAAGTCTAATTATTTGTTACTTGTACGATGTGAATAAATTTCTGATATGAACTTTCTCGACTAATGAGATTTTAGCAGTTTCATATCGAGCAATAGAATATAATTAGATCTGTTATATGTATATCACACTTCTAGAGATTTTGATCGAATAAATCACAGTTTATTTGAAAGGTTTTTTCTTTATTGAAAATATTTAATTTCATCGTTTCAAAGGCAAATCATCTAAATGTAATAATGAATGATAATTCATATTCTTTATGATTTTGGTTTTTTATAGTCAAAAGGATTTAAATCATTACACTGTATATATCTATTACATAATCCAACAATATATTTACCCTAATTTTATTAAAATGATGACCTTCGTTCTACTGATAGTTTAATAAATATTCTTAGATGATTTTGTTTTTATAAAGTGCTTCTTATTTTTCTGATACACTAATAATTTCTTCTTTTTTTTAGGTCAATAATTTTAGTGTAAATAATGAAAAAAAAGATAATAAAACAACAGAGTAAAAATATGAAAGAATCATGAAGACTTTTATCAAAGAAGAATTTTCCGTATCAACGATTTTCTTTATTAGATAAATTGCCTGTTGCAATACTTAATCATATAGCTTCGTATTTAAATGGTTCCGATGCTTTATCTTATAGTGAATGTACCACAAAAGTTGTGCTAATTTCGGAAAGAAAATTTTTGGCAATCTCTTGGTCCGTAAGTAAAAGATTATCGTTTTCCATAAAATAATATTCTCTGATACACATATTTTTTTCGTGTTATACTCTATAGAAAACCTTTTTTTATCTGAAATCTATAATTTATTATTTATTAATCTGTTCACTTTGGGTACAAAAATGTAAAATACTGTGTTACGTCTTCTTTACCAAAAGAAAGCTTCTATTTAATTTCGTGTGATTACTTCATTCAAAAACGATCTGATCATCAAATCCTGCTTTTTATTATCTTGCTTTTTTACCATGGAATTTAGAAAAAATGACAAAACACTGCAATACTCAATCATTTCCAACATTTGTACGCTTGTATTCATATTCAACACATTTCTGTGCATTTACAATGCCTATCTATACATTTTTTGAATATTCATTTATTTATGAATATAGACCATTAAATAGACTAGAAATAAAATTATTTCGTACTTTACGAACTGAAGTTTTCAATCAAAATCCAATTATTATTAGTAAAATTTCCCAATTTGAAATGAACTTAAATACAAGATTTTTCTTTGGTTTCATAAAGACATGGATTCACTTTTCCTGTTTTTTATTAGCTGGTAAATGGGAAATATTGTATATTTAATTTTCTTCAAGTATTATATTGCTTAAGTGGTTCAGTTTTAAGTTCTTTATTAATTAATGATGTTGATATTATAAGTCAAGATCTGAATTTCTTTTGGATCGGGGATTCGTGGGTAAAGTTTTGTTCACAAATAGATAGGTTCTGACGACGAAGTCAAGCTAATATTATTGCAGAAATGAATCTTAATAGTAAGGTAATCGAATTTGCTCTATGCACAAAAAATTCGCTTACAATTCATTTTTGGTCGTCATTAATCAAGGAATTATGCGAACCACCAGCAACCATGATCAGTTGTTCGAAATATTTACCAAATTTTAAATTGAGATAAATAATATTTTTAGAAAGATATGCTAGCTGCTTTTGCTATACACAAACCAACAGTAGACAAATCTGAGATATTAGCATACACAAGGTTTACTCGGGAATTCGGTCGATAAGGTTCATAGCATCAATGTTCAAAATAAAACATCTTTATTAATGACCTTCTTTGTTGCTGCTTATTCTTGTTCAAGATTTCCATTACTTGTTTCTATCTTTCTCAAGGGTCTCATCACATGGATAAGACATTGTGTCTATTCCAAACAAACGAAAATGATAAATGCTGTAGAGTATGTTGGTCTCCGCAAGATGTATGTAGGATTAGAGGTGTAAGCCGACGCCTCGGTTGGCGGCGGCAACTCGAAATCTTTAGATACTATTTTTAAAAAATTTCGTAGTTTTGAGAATTATCTAACAAGAAAGGGAACAATGATAATATAGAATGTTCTTATTAACAGTTAGATCAAAAGAATCCAAAATACTGTTTCCGAGTAGTGAAAATATTCAAAAATTTAGTATTTTTGCTTATATGTCGACGGCAGTGGCTCAAAAATTAAGAATTGTTTTGGTTTAATGACTGCGGTGACTCAAAAATTAAAACTTTTTTTGCCTCATCGGTGGCGACGGCTCAGCCGTTCGGCTTACACCTCTATGCAGAATTTATTTTTGCTGAACGTTGACTTGATGTTATACCTGAAATGGTTTGAGTTCTATAGTTAGCTCTTTGGAGTGTATTCGGCGTGAAAGATAGTTTCCGATATAGTTTATGTTCATCGGACGTTATTCAAGCATCTTCATTTATCAGTTGCGAGTGAATTGATAAGTGATTGTTTGTGATGATTGGGCTTGGTGTGGTGCCTATGACTCACTGTTGGCTTATTCAATCACTATACTGGCAACACGACAATTTTGGCAGTTTTGTCCTTTAGAACAATGACTGGATTAGGGAATCGTGCGTATGTTCTTATTTTCTGCTGAGATAAGTCCGCTTACTTGTAGGGAAATGCTCGATGACGCCTCCTGGGATTTATGTGCATTCGGAGATCGAGTCGTTTTCTTTTTATTGTTGGTATGACATTTATTTTTTTCAGCATTCATTTGCGACGTTCTATGCTGAGTGTAATATGTTTCAATGTCTAGTATCATCTCGTATTTGACGGGATTGATCTTAGATATCGTTTTATCTGAGTAGTGTCACATATCCCGAGATTTGGAGATGCTGCGACTTCTCCCGTTGAAGATGCCGCATCTCCAGCGGAGAAGGGGTCATGCACCACCGGAAAAGTATCACCTCCTTTAGAGATGTACATCCCCTGCATCCACGCCCACATCTCTTGCAGTAGATATAGCTGATCCCGGAGAACAAGTTGATGCATCTCCAATTTTCGGGATATATGACACTGCTGATAGAAATTTGGGCGAATTCCCCCACACAGGCCGTCACAGAGAAATGAATTAATTAGTTCGTTAGCTAATTGGTTAACTAATTAATTAGAGAAGTTAATTAATTAACTAATTAGTTAACTAATTCATTTCTCTGTAACAGTCTGTGATGGTCTCTAAAGGCTTCATATATCATAATCCAGGCCGTGACTTAGAAGCTTCACAGACGATCACTGACCATCATAGATGGATTCCGGAACAGGCGTTTCATCGCATTTCACAGTTTAATCCCACAGGGATTGCACTAGCAGCTGTTTTAATAAATATCAATTCTTCTTCATTACGTATTGTTATTTAAATTTAGCGACAAGAAAATTTTCTCAGAGATAGGCAATGCATTACAACATTGATATATTCCTATGAATTCTAATTAAAATCAGTAAAAGATTTTTCCTTAACTAAGTATTTTATTTTTTCTAATTTGTGCCATTTAATTTCATTTGTGACAACTAAAAATAGAATTATAATTAACAGTATGAATTTAAAATCTTCTTGGTTTTACTACGTTCTCACAT